GGGGTCTCTGAGCTGAGCTGAGCTGAGGGTGGGCTGATGATGAATGGATGATGCTTATGGTATGCCCGGTCATGGGATGAGGTTGTTTGCGTCTACGCTGGTAATCGTATGGCATGGTTATGTGTGATGTACTACTTACTCTGCTTGCTGTGCTTTTGTGGTTCTGTTCTGTTCTGTTCTCTTGCGTTGCGTTGCGTTGCTCCTGGCGTTTAGGTTTGATAGTTTGGGACTCGCTTTATGGGACAGTACATTTTAGTTATGTCTTGATGGACGCTGGGTTGCGCGGCCTTCCATTGGTCTCTCGAGGGTAGTCACTCGTGCATTGACATCCACATACAGTAGATTTAGATGAGGGTCTGAAATGGGTGGATCCAGTGCTGCTGTCTAAATTGCCTACGCTTGCTCAAAACGAAGTGCCATTGTAGGAACAGGCGAGCACCAGAGCTCTCAGCTGGCACATCGCAGCTAGGCCTACATAGGCCAAGCGCACCCGACATCATCCACGTTTGCAACTGCGCAAATAACTTAGGGATGCGTGCCGAGCAGCATCACAAAAACGTCAAAAAGTTGACTGTCTCTCACACAGCAGCTCGGGGTTCGATTCCCCGCATCGAATTTCTCTTTTGTTTTGTTTTTTGTTTGTTTGTGTATAGCAACGTCTATCTACCTCAATGTACGACTTGAGGGGAGATTTTTACCCCGGCCGAGAAAAAAAAATACGACAGTGATATCATGTATAGTATCTTTAACAACAAACAAACAATTATTCGTTCATCTAATCTACCAAATCCGCCTTTCCATGGCCGATTGATCAAGGTCTAGAAGATGGATGGGCAAAAAGAGAACTCCGATGCGGGGAATCGAACCCCGAGCTGCTGTGTGAGAGACAGCGATGTTAGCCATTACACCACATCGGATGGTTGTTGAACGAGCGCTTCTGTTACAAAATACATCGTCATTATGCTGTCACAGTGTGGTTCACGTCAACTCTAACAACCCGGCGCCATGGTTCGGCTTCAATCCGGAACCTACTTATCCTTTGCTTATTATGGTACTGTGATGCGAGGGTGGGTGGAATGTCGGGAGTGAACTGGTGGTCTGTTTGAATTGGTTTCATGGAGATATCGACGCTTGTTGATTGATCCGAGAATATGGGGATTGGGTATGACGGATACATATTTCTACGCTGCACGGGAGGTTCAGATATACCAAACCACCATGTGTCTGGTCTTCCTTCCGACGTCACATATTCCTCATTCTAGAACAGATCGCTCTTCTAATTCGGAGTACATACAGTGTTTTCCCAAGCAATTGGAGGCTAGTGGCTTAATACCAACTCGGAGATGCAACCTCAACCCCACCTGGCCCTAGGATGGTGCTGGCAGAAGTCAGCACGAAGACGGAATGCAGAGCAGGTGGGAATGGCCTCCGAAGAAATGCTCCATACTAGGCTGTCTGGGCCTGGGCTATTGAAGCGGTGGTCCCCAGCCGTCTCTCGGTCTCATTTATGTCTCGACAGGATCGTCACCATTTTGGTCACCATCGTCCTCATGCTGTCGAATCAAGTTCCGAGTATTTCTTGATTACATCCAGCAGTTGCACCATTCCAACCACTGAATAGTGCTGGTTGATAGGGTGCGGGGAGGTTCGAATGCTGCCTCTGCATAGTCGTTGTTGGTCTTCTTCCGTATGGCATTTCAAAACTCCTTTCTCCGTGCGATGAGTAAGGACTACCCGAGTGAGTCGCTGCATCAAGTGCGACAGCTTTGATTGCGTCTAAGTGCAAAAGCTACAGGAGGGCCAACAAGCAAAACCCGCCCCCGATGGCTAGGTTGGCCTTAGAAGTATCCTTGATCCCGACGAGCCATAGCCCCTTCCTTGGGGCCACCGGTTTCGCCGAGGTGCCCAGTGGTTCCAGGACCTTCCTAATCTCATCGACAACAATCGCCCATGCCCCGTCGTCCGGTGCTGGAGTCGCAAATTTCAGGGCCACGAAGGACCCATCCATATAGACACCGGCATACTCTGCATCCGTATCGCCCCCTAGCTTAGCCCTCCGGGTCCGCACAAGCTTCGCGGTATGGTTCGGGTCGGACGTCTTGGCCGTGGAGACTGATGGTCTGCGTTCTACCGCCGGCCCCGGAGGGGCAATTCCGGGGTTCATTCAACGGAGGCAGCCTCGACAGCATTGCCGTGGCGCGGGAGTATCAAAACAGCAGACAAACGACAACGAAAAATCAATGACCCTACAGGCTCTTCATAACTGCCATGGGAAAGCTCCCCAGCAACTTCCACACCCAACCCCCGTACTCTCTCTATCATAAGTAGGCGCATCGAAATTGATGTGCACTCTGTCCTCTGACTGCAAGCGAAGCCGACTATGAGGGAAACTGAGAAGATCCAGGTAGCGCTGGTTGGCTGCGCCCAGGATAAGCATTGTCCGCGAATTGCCCGAATTAGTCCACACTGAGTCTGCCGTCTGCCGTCCGCTGAAATGCTAATTCTCGCATGAAATTGCATATCCAAGCGAGGTGGCGCATTTCCCCCTCGACTCGAAAAGGCCAGACGCAGAAGCAGTTGGCTCCGTTTCCCTCCAATGGTGCATCCAAAGTTGTCGGACGTACCACAGTACAGTGTGGTCCGTATACAAGGACAGGGGAAGTCCAGGACGTGGAAACAGCATCAGATAAGGTATCTGGAATGGGCGTATGATCCGGAATTTCCGGAATATAGCGAATGTAATGAAGTTTCGGGGTGATTAACTTGGATGATAAGGTGATGGTTGTTAAGAGGTAATCACCGCTCGACCAAGAAGAAGAGTGTTATTGCTATGGCGCAAATTATGACATTGGCGACCAAGCAACCGGATTTACCGTGTAAACGAAAGACAGTTGTTGGCTAAAAAACGAACGTGGTCAACTCGAATCCGCCTGTCGGTGTTGAAATTAACGGGGTAGTCTGATGCTCGTTGGGAGGCAGTCAGGTACCCAATGGCCATATACATGTACACCCATGCATCACATACGCGTACGCCGTAGGGCGGCCAACCGTTTCCACATTCTCCCCGCGCCTATTCCCGCCACAGCTCAAGATTCTTGGCCTGGGCTTGGATCTCTTTGCCCCCAGCAGGCTGGGTGCAGTCACAGTCTGTTCTCCCTTCGGGGTAGCGGGGGGGCCCTCCCCGTGGAGTCCGCCCCCGGAACCCACTCCCCTCGGGTCTTTCTAGCGCCTTTCTTAATTTTCTCTGGAGCAAATATACCGGCCGACAGCGTAGGGGGGTTTATGCCCTGCGGAACCTCTGTGTTTTTAGTGTTCGTGACCATAGTGATTGCTCAGATAGATAAAGGGTGGTTGGGTTTGTTTAACGCCGTCCCCACGGCGGGGCCTTTTACTGTCATACCCACGACGGCGATTTATCCAGCGGACGCGAGTACAAGGCCCTCCCGAGGCCTGGGAGAGATTATGGAGGCTCCTCATCCCTTCTGGCGCCTTGTTCCGAGTGACCTAGTAACCAAAGCCGCGAGGATTTGCGAATTTTAATCAAGGCCAATCACCATGCAGCAACTGGTTTAATTAAAACCGCGAGGCTACCCAGGAACTGGTTCCACTGGCGGGGCTTGCCTGTCTCGGGGTCTCGGGACTCCAGAATGTCCCTGGTGCCGAACCGCTTTTGCCGATGGAGGAGCGAGTCCCGCATGAGCGCCATGAAGTATTCAATTCAGTAACTCCTGATGAGAGGATACAACCGAGAGTATGAAGTGGAAGTGATTGAAGAAGTCAGAGCACACCGAGGTAGCTAGAGTTGGATACTCTGCAACCGTGGGTAGGGAGTAAGATTTGAGGTCGCGGCAAGATTTTAATCAAAACCCTCTAGTGCTTTGGCCGCATCCGTTTGCCAAACCGTCATCACTTTGACGACTTGCTTCGTGTCACAACTTCTTTCCAAGTCGGAGGTTGATGTTCAATTGGCATCCTTTCCGATGTTTCTCCCATACTGGTTCACGATCCTCAAAAAGCCGGACTCCAACCGAGCTGAGCAGTAGGTATGGGCAATCAAGTCGCCAGAAACTATCCCATGTCGATAGTTGTAAGAGTAAAAAGCTCAGACACGTATGTGTTATGTTCAAGAAGGGAGTGTGTGTAGCTGATTGTCAAGTGAAACGTGGGGCTATTCTCTTCGACCTCACATGCTCCGTACCTTGTTACCTAGTCCGTACCTTGTTACCTAGTCCTCTAGATTCGTTTACCTCATTGAAGTTCTAGAGTATCCATGACCCATCCAGCCATACTAGATAGAGGCATTGCAAATGAGGGGCATGAGTGACGCGCTGTCTCTCGCTGAATGATACTGTTTCGGCTGCATCACTGACTGCTGAGGACACTTAGTGTTGAAGATGGGCAGGCAGACGATGCTGCTACTGGCGTGACATCTGACGAAGGTGAGGAGAATGAGAGAGGTTTTCGTCGGCTGACGGCTCACTTGAACATTTCGTCGTGGAACGCTCGCGTGTTATAGACAGGTTTGCTGAATAACATGGTAGAAGGAACGGATCTGATGCGCTGGATTGTTTCACCAGAAGAGATTCAGACTTCATGAGAGAGGAAGTCTAGACATGGGCTTCCTCAATGTCCGGATAATCGGACGTGGTGATTGCACAACGTCACTTATCTCTGCGACCACGCGCAGTATGACACGACGCTCAAGTTGTCCCACTGAAGTCCTTGGGGAGGTCGGTGTACCTGACCCCATTGCTTTAACATGATCGCCGTCTGTTTCATCATGGGCGGCTGCTGAGCGGTTCTGGATCTCGTGTGCAGTTGACACATGTCTTAATGCATCAGCGAGGATGCCGAAGATGTCTTCTTGGAAAACAAAACAACTCCCGTTGGATTCTTGTCGCATTATCGAGAGAGAGCGTGGATTCACGCATGAAATACTCGCCCATTCATCACACTCAAGTCTCTACCCCGTTTCAAAGAAGCCGACTAGGCAGATGTCGCTTTGATAGCCACTGCTGTCGTCCCATCCCCAAGCTTTGCTTGAATGGTTGTATTAGGATAGCGACCGTAGATCTACCCGGAATATTTTCTGAGTTGCTCGAGATTCTTAGCCACGTGCCTACCAGCGACAATGAGGTCCATGGCCATGGCTTGAAGTCGCATGGCACACGCAGGTATGAGCTGCAGCTGTAAGTAAAGACGATACCTGCGACCGTTTTTGTTTGATCCTTGATGAAGGAATCCAAATTATGGAATCTCCTGGGGTAGTAGCGACTAAAGGATCAGTGCTCCTTGACTCCCCCCGGCAAGAACCAAGCACGGCCGTCTTGCCGGGGGGACAGAGACGTCAGCAGTGATGCTATAGTCAGCATTCTAACACTGACACAGCCATCATTGCGCGTAAGCACACCCAGTCGCTCAAGTGAAAGCTTGCGCTTTGGGATGGATACTGGCCGGTCATTGCCAGAAAGGCCGAACCGGACATTGCGTATAAGGTTAGCATTGTCTCTGAGGAAAGACAATGTTAGGGCTCTATTGTTGGAGCCGCACCTGACTCCTTCTCGCGGTATGTAGTTGAGCGGCACAAGCTTTTCAACCTTATTGGTAAGTGCAATGTGACAGAGCCTCACTCAAGCCTTGAGTCCTCTAAGCTGTCCTTTCGGACCTCGATAACCCGCACGGGCTTGCAGAGGGGATCTCAGGTGTGGCGAGCAGCATACTGAGTAAGATCTATGGTCTCCTTCTTGCGAATAACTGAAGTGACACCTTGATCGTTCGCGTACTGTGGGACTTCAAAATCCCCAGCTGCTTAACACATGACATCTTGTTTGTTAGCGAGTCACAGTGCCTTCGCCGAGGCGGTCGCCGAGAGATTTGAGCCTGACGAAGTTGAGCGGTTTGATGAAGAAGTCCACGTCGAGTTTTACTTGTGACTGATGAAGTTGATCGAGTTCAGGTAGCGACTGCAGAAATCAAGAGCTAAATTGATCTTCTCGACATTTTCCACAGTGCGCTCTTTGAGATTTGGGGGTTGTCCGCAGATACTAGACTGTAGCTAGCTCCTGTTACCGCAACGGAGTCTTGTCAAAGAAACGAGGAACATCCTTTTGCTCATGTCAAGCAGGCAAGTGCTGGATGATTAAGTGATGATGATGACGATTTTGATGATGGCGATGGTGATATCATCGACTTCATAGAGGCGATGAACAGTATCCGAGGCCTACCAGCACCATTGACTCAACATCTGCCAGAGAATTGACCTGATGACAGCTTTCTGCACGCCTCGAACGTCATGAAGTATACCGTACCCGAAGGAGGAATCCAGCGACCAAATAGCCGATTAGTCCCAGAAAAGCACGAATATCAGTCTCAGCAGAGTCTGCGGTTCGCATCTGCTTGTCTTTTGCGTCTCATGTTATTGCGTCTCATGTATCGCATTAGCTTAATTGATTGGAGACGGGCCAGTGCCAATTATACAGCGTATTGCTTATGTTGATCTTGGATCCTGACGTTACCTCAGGGTATAGCTTCCCATCGAGAGTAGAGCTGTCACGAATCTGATCACCAGGCCTCCTGGCCGCTGCATAAAAAGACGTGACCAGCGCGTTGAGTTGCGGAGCTCAAACCAAAGAACCATCATGGCGAGTACACCGTGGTTAACCTTGATTATGTATATCTGACATGATATAAGACTTCCCGTCCACTTCATGGTTGTTTGGTCGTGCGTCGATGAACTCTTTGTTTAACTGTCTAGTCTGGCGAATACGCTCATCATGCCCGTGGCAGTCCTTAACCTTGACAGATCCAGCAGTGCTGCAATGTGGGGCTTATGGATGTAACTTTCATCGAAGGATGATAGGGTGGGCAGCTCATGGTACTTAGAGGCCCGTGGAGGGGTCCACGGTGCTTTCCTCTCATTCTGATCATAGGCACAACTCATGGGTTTCTCGGGGTCACGCGGCCACGACAGGCCTCAACCCAGAATACCCAGCCACTGCTCAGAGGCTGTGGGTTTAGGCTTTACTGGCCAATGGGATTCTGGAATGAGAGGCTCGCAGTGCGCATAGTATTCTGGTTCATGGTGGGTGTCTGAAAAGGTTGGGGTGTGTTTGAAGAGGTCGGGTTGCGTTTTGACAGGCATTGTTGGGTTTTTTGCCGGGGCAGTATCAAACTGGTCGTCTGGGCTGCTGAGCTGCTGCTGAGCGTCTCCCCAGGGCTATCCCAACCTGGCTGTCGGAGTCCTCCGATGGTAGCTTCCCCCCTCATAGACAGGTGTGTCTTGCCTCAACTCCCAGAATTTTTTAAGATCTGTCGCAGGAATTCTCTCATTCGTGGCATCACCTCAGTCCAGACGAGAGAGTGACGGAGCCCGGATAGTTGACTTCGGCCTGATGTTTGAATCAAAATACCCAAAGAGGCTGCATGTGCTCTAAAGCCCATTATTGAGCATAAACACGCATCAACAGCCTCCCCCGTGTGTCTATCCTTCTGCATGTGACTGGGTAGGTTGCCAGCATTCGGAAGAATAGCGAGGGAAGCTGGCCGCTTGATTGAACACGTCGGCATCAAAGAACCTGTATGACTTTCGGGGATCACTGTAAACATAGGGGCATAAGTGATTGCTCAAATGAGGCGTGAGTGCTATACTACGCCGGGGATTTGACGAACTCACAGCACAGCTTGTTATTCACGATATCGACTGCATTTTCCCGCTGGCTGTTGCTTCGTCTGCCTGTTGGATATGTCCTTCGATGAAGCGAGTGCTCTTGTAGGCATACTGATACTTGATTAAGAAACGGAGGCTGCCACTTTGCAGCCCTTACCCAGCGAATAAAGGTACTGAATCAGTAACAAACTTCGCCCGTCATTCCTGTATGATCGCTTCAGATGTTCTCCAGATTCCCACGTGGTTGATCCCACGGCCGATTCTTGTTTCGTGGGTTCTTGATGGTGCCTTTTCGCTCCCAGTCGGGGACCGCGAGTATGTGCTCGTCAAACTCGTCACTCGTGTCGTCATCTCCACCCGGCAAAGATGCCCCGTACTGAGCGATGGTCAAGTGGGTAGGAATGCAACTGGGTCAGGATTAATTCATTACCCAGAGAATGACAAAATTCAGGGACTGAAGTTCGCGAAATCCGCCGAGCATCGCAAAGAGAGTAGTCTAGGATCTCTTTCAATATGACTTCTGATGTAGGACCATTTACTGATATAACAGGCCATGCATCTCTCCTCTGTAGACTATAACAACAAGCCTTCTCTTCAAGCAAAAAAGCCCTAGAGCACTGATGTCCTTTCACAGAGAAATAGTGAAAGCAGTCAGCCACGAATTCTGAAGCTGCGCATACTGTCAGTACATACCTGAGGCTTGCATCTAGCATCTGCGTACCGATCTGTCAGCTGTTCGTTGATACCGGCATTCTGTGAGTTGTATAGAGAGAGAAGAAGCATATTAATTCTTCTCCTGCAGAGAGCCATGGAGAGGTCAACTGCAATACAAGCCTCAATAGTATTAAGTTAGGTCACAATACAGCAGGGTCACGCATAAGCTTGCATCCAACTCAAGGAAGCTGGGGTCGTTTGCAATCACGTAACGATATTGTCCAAGCTGTAGGGTGATGGGAGAAGCCGTGAGATTCCCGCCCCATCTCCGCTGGAGGCCAAAGCTCTCTACCGTCTGTCTTGTTGAGAGCTATAGGGAAAGAGGAAAAGGCCAATCAAGATTCTGAATGGGCTGCCGGAAAACCCGACCATGACCATGGTAAGACAGCGCACGCATACGGCACCCAAATATATTAGCACGCACTATCTGCCCCTGTGAGGCGGGCCGGTTATTATACACGCAGGGTTCCAACAGCAGCCAGAATGCCATCGGCGAAACTTGTTGATCGCGGTCTGCTGTATTTCAGCGTGTCTGATTTTCAACGAGGTTGAGTCGCTCGAGCTCTGGGCGCTGGAAATCCTGATTCCATAGATAGCAAGTACTGTGTTCTCGCAAAGGAAGCTCTGCAGGGCTCTGAAACAAGCTCCTGCAGTAGCCCGCTTGAAATTTGCATGGAAACTCGACTGTCGCAGGAAAGAAGCAGACGAACTGGGTTCAGACTCAGCATAACAGTGCTAACGAATATGCTAGGCCGTTCTTGATGTCTTCTTCAAAGTCCTGCGTGTTGCGGTGTGCTAAAGTACTGGACAACTCAACCAAATACTTCCACTGTACTTCCTTGGGGTCCGCTGTCTGCAAGTTTTCTGTCCTGAGCTGGGAACCACTGCGCCACCTCCTTCGATCAGCGAGGATTCTTCGTGAACCAGGGCCTCCGCATCCGCGTCATCCAGCTTGCAGAGAATGCGCTCCTGCCGGTTCGGAATCTCGGACAGCATTCTCTTGCCGAACCAGCGGCTATTGTCTTTATGGCTGATGTATTTAATCCGCCGGAGAAACCTGCCGACACTACTTAAGATAATGCTGACGTCTCCGTCGCCATTCCGAACCGCGCGATCAAACTCGCGACCAAGCCTCTCGATTTGCTCCGCTCCAGCCATGCATAGCACAGGGTCATCCTTTCACTCAGAACGCTCGATGATTTGGATGGCCCCGACGATGTCTGCCGGCGATTTTGGGAACGGCGTTCCGGTAATATGCCAGACCGGAGGAGGCTCACGCACACCCTGTGAGTTCACCGAGACCCAGCGGTAGGCGCCCCACAAATTGCTCAGGCTTTGCGCCAGCCTTATGAACTACCCCTGGTCAAGGTGAGCCTCTTCTCTGAGAATACGCCCCCAGACTACCAGACATTTAGCTTCATAGCTGTGGACGTGAGTCCAAGTCTGCCCACTGCACCGTTTGGGGATCCGCACCTCCATCGGGATTCCCTCCTTGGACGCCGGGGGATACCGGTCACCCGGTTCCTATGAATAGGGTCTAGGTGCTGGCCTCCAGACCTAGTGGTGATGCCTGATCTGTTTTTCGTCTCCTCAAATTTGGCGTGTACGATGATAAAGCGAGTGAACTGCTCTATGCTATCTGGGTCGTAGCATATGAAGAGACCGCCATGGCCTTCGGATTACTGCAGCAGGTCATCCCGATGGCTCCGTCTGTCCGGTGGCTTGAGGAAGAGAATAATCTCAGCTTCAGCCGGTTCTAGGCTAGATGGGGGAATCCAGCACCCGACTAGAGATCCTTTTCCCCTCTGAAATCCATTCCTCCAGATGCTGGAACCCGGAATGGTCATGCTACCTGGAATGCACCATTGTAAACTCGTTTCCCGGAAACTTCTGAAGTAGCTGAGCTTGTGAGATGGCTCCACTGATTCAAAACATGTAAGTAGAAACAGCGACTCGGAAGGAGATGCCTGCCGTCGTGTGACAGATCTTGTTGACGAACCCGACAGCGTTGAACGCTGTGCCCAGCTCTGAAGCCTTACTCGGTGTCTTCAACAAGTCCTTCGGTATCAGAACGCCTGAAAGCCGCAAGATCCGCGTCAATATCACCTGCATATCAAAGAGTTCGCATATCGGAAGAGGCCATTTGGTCTCATCGCGGGTAGTGAGCTGGTGCCAATCGCCTGACTTCATGAGCCCAGAATACTTCTGACGATATCGATGATGGTAGTAAGCCTCCATAATTCTTCCGTCTGTCTCATGAGCTTTATACATATTCCCCTGGACGTGAGGCGGGTTTCCTTAGACTTAACATATTGTTGGGAAGTTGTTTTAGTGGCGGCAGCCAAACAAGTCGCACCCCAAGAGTTTGGTTGTTAAGGGATATGCCGACATTTCGCTGAGGATTCGCGAGCTCGGGTCCTATTGGGAGACTCGTCCCAAAGTGCCTTTCTCGGTATGCCTGTGACTTCCACTATTCAGAGGCGTAAGGCCTCCTCACCATAATGCTGCTCTTGTCTGAGTATTGACCTGGGATCGTATAACCATCGGTGGTTGATAAGTTTGTCATGCGGAAAGTCCAGAGACAACTGGCTAGCGAGCTCGTTATAGCAAACGCAATACTGAAGGTCACTGCCGAAGTTGAAATCCCGGACTTTGTGCTGGTTGGGGCAGGCACGCGCAGAAGACAATCAATCCTGCCCCGAACGGCGCACAGAGAAAACAAAACCCAAGAACGAGGCAGAAGACCCCAGACGAACAGGAACACCCGCACCGAAACAACAAAACCAGCGCAGGGCCCGGCAGCGTGACGAGTGAATATGGTAGACACTGGGTACTGACCCCGTTCGATACAGAGAGACATGAAGTCAATCTGAAACAGCACGGTTCAGAGTCCAAACCATGAAGAGGCCATGATCAATGTACGCAACTTCCCCATGATCCATCGATACCTTCCTGGGTGATCCTCATCGCTCACAAACAGGTGTCTTCGATGTGCGAGCTCAATGTTGACAAACACCTTTTTTTCATCAGAGGTAAAAGCAGGAGTTGTTTTGCCGGCCGCGAACGGGTGACAAGTTCATGTAGGTAGAGCTACGAACAGCAGGTTTGGCTTCGTCCGTTTCCACCGCATTTGATGTTTGTCGCGTGCTACCGTCAATCCGTCTGTGATGAGGGTACCCAAAGTGATTCGAGATCTGCGCACATAAATCGGAAGCTCGTTGCCTGAGTGGTTCCAGACCAGGCACGCTCGCAAGTCGTCGACGCGTCCGTGCTGCGCGACTGGCCCGAGGCTCTTATCCACGAGGACAGTGCCCCAACGGTATGTTCGCGCTCGTGCTGAACGAGAATTTCCCGCGCGCGACCAGCGCGGCGTCAAATCTAGACTCGCTGTTGGTCTTATGGGAGACGGTATCAGGGTTCCATGTGGGCAATCTTCATGCCTCTCGGCGAGCACCGCAGGGGCACTGCGCGAGGACCTTTTACTTCTTTTATGAAGCTTTTCAAAAGCGTCTTCCAACAGCGCCATCGATTTTCTTCTCTTCTGGAAATCAAGACCTGTAAGTCGAAGGCCTGAGCCTCTTCAGCTATTCTGCATTGATGGACTAGATTCAAGTAAACCTCAATGAAGCTGAGACGCAATCGTAGAATGCAGGAAGAACGCACGATGACATGCTACCAATGTAGCATGCCATCAGTCTAATATTATTGAATTTGCACATCGTATCCACAGCAGTAGAGATTTGCGTGAAAAGAAGCAAGTTCGGACCACTGCAACGGAGGCGATTGGCTCGTCTAGAATATCTTGCAAAGCTGCCATAGTCGCAGAGTCGAAGGCAGCGCGAGTGAGTACAACTCTGTAGCATGGTTGTGAGCCAATGGTGTCAAATCCGGTCAAGGTCTCACCTTACACCATGTGCAGCTTTGCCTATGCGGACAGGACGGACTGCAAGATAAGCACATCGAATGAGTGGTGTAAAGGCGGTTATAGGTGTCGAGCCCGCAAACCAAGGATGACTGCGGATCTTTCGTTCTTCATTCGATGGGTTAAGTCCCCCACCTCCTTCTTCTTGGTTTTCTTTTTCTCTCGCTTGTTAGGTGAAGGTCCAGGGATAAGAGAGCCATCCGAGGTGAGGAGGGGCGGAGGGGCCTGGGCCTTCCTCTTCTTGCGCTCGGTGGTTTCTTCTTTTGGCGCTGTGCACGAGAAGGTGTAGTGATCAAAGCCACCGCACCTGTCACAGGGTCGCTCAGGGGGGACCCCCAATGCCTCCTTTGCCTTGTGGCCCTTCAGTCTCTCCTCACAGGCCGCTGCTCTCCTCGCCTACCTCGCCTGCTTCGCCTTCGGCTTATCAGTCCGAGCCTGGCGGTCCTCCACTTCTTCAGCCCAGCTTCCCGGTTCCTGCAGGTTGGGTCGGGTTGAGTTCTTTACATATGGGTAGGGGACGCCCGCTCTTCGTCCATGTCTAGGTCGCTGTCATCATCGGGGAGAGGAGGGTAGCTGTCCTCATACATCCCCATGTCAATATCCATGGTGCCTAGCAAGCTTGGGGCTTCCACGGTCCGTTCCCCCGTGGGGGTGGCGGGGAGGCCCTCTCCGAGGAGTCCGCCTCCAAAACCCGCCCCCTTCTGGGTCTTTTTACTGCCTTTCTTGTTCTTCCCCGGAGCAAACATGCGGGCTTCAAGCGCAGGCGGGTTTAGGCCCTGGTTAACATCTGTTTTCTGTGTGTTTGTAGCCATGATGATTTCTCGGTAATTGAAGGGTGGGTGAGTTTTATTGACGTTGTCTCCACAACGCCGCCTCATCGCTTCTCTAGCCAGGTCTTCTGCGACACTTGGACTAAGAAGCGCTGGGTACTTTCGTCGCAATCTGTCAAGAAGTAACAATACCAAGGCAACATCAACCAGTAATCCATGCGAAGGTCGAACTCTTACCTCCACACGACCTCGGAGTTTGCAAGGTGTCAGAAAACGGATCCAGTATGCTGTATTATAACGGCAAAGTCTATATGCCGGATGCATATACAAGCAGCCGTTAAGCCAGACATCTGCGCAATCCACCTTCAGCAAAACATAGGAAATCGCATTCTGAGGGATGACACCGGATATAGGGTACCATTTCGCGCTCCCGCCTCGCTCGGTCCAAGTCCCCAGTCAGAGTTTTAGACGCGCGGTCTTCCAACGGAAGCCACCACCCGCGGGGTGCTAAAGGCGAAGAACACCTCTTCATAATGACGCAATGCAGCAGCGATTGATCTTCTGGGTCTGTGTATCTGGTCGTGTACCGAGCACGTCGATGACTCCTCAGACAAGTCGTAGCCATTCTTCCTGAAAGGTCTTATGATCATCCAGAGAATGGAATGGCATGCTGAGTTGCTGGAAGGGCGTTCTTGAAGTTGGTCCCGCAGGAGAATCCTGCGAGGTTTGGCACTGATGCTGTTTATGTGGGCTGGCGTGGTCAAATTGGGGCTGTACATCGGGGCTGTACATCGCACACGGTACAGTGCTTGATTGCTCTCGTGCCATCCTTCCTGGCATGACCCCTTACCGGACTGCTTATAATCAGGTCGTGATCCTATCAGTTGATCATGTTTGGCGCATGCTTTCTTCATATGTACCGCTGCAATCAATTCGAAAGCGTTCTCTGTGTCCGAATACATGCCGGAGTGCTGTAACTGCCACATCCCTCGTGGAGTTGAGAGTAGCGTTCGAACATGCCAGGATTGAAGCAACCATAATCACTTCTGGACCACAATCCATCCTCTTGGCGAGCGAGCCCCGACTGAGGATATCGCATGAGCTGAACAGAATGCTTGACGACAATCGAAGAATGCTGGCCAATGTCAGAAAAAAAAAATCCTTTTACTCACGGGCGCACAATTCGCTTTACGCGCGGCGCATTGGCTGCATTCAATTGACGAAACGGCATCGAAACAGCAGCCTGGCTTGAACTGTTCACCGGAGTCGTGCTCATAGTTCTTCACAGTCATGTCTAGTGCCATGGTTAGTATAGCTATAGGCGAATGGAGTCTTCGTCACCTGTCATACGTACCGCTCTCCACGACAGAAGAGCTGATTCAGGCGGAAGAGAACTCATTACCGAGAACCCTAGTGGTGCTGGGATAGCTTGATCTTCTTCACGTATGCAATTCTCCTTATTTAGCTAGGACTCGCTGGCTGGGTGTGCTTGCAGGAGGCGGGGAAGGTCCAGACATTATAGGACCGTGGACCGCGTAGGCTGCCACGATATTTGCCATGGTCAACTGCTGAGCACGACCTCCGCGGACCCAAGTGACAGTTGGTGGAAGCCGGAGCGCTGTCGATTTAAGAGACAATGCGACATTCTAGCAAGCACTAGACGCGCAAATAGAGACATGACAGCTGGCTTCGCAATGGGCTCGATTCTTGTGAGGAGATGACAGTTGGATGAAGTTGGTAGTGGTTGCCAACTAGCAGAGCGACGATTAGTGTTAGGAGAGCACCGGCCATGTCTCTGGCTTAGAAGCCTTGGTTGTTTTATCCTCGCCGCGCATGGACTGCGCAAAGAAGTTGCGGAAAGCTTGTTTTTCTGTAAGCGTCTCTCCGGGAGCCGAGGCACTAGGCATTACTCTAGACATCTCCAGTGTACGGTGGCCAAGGCTGAGGGTTATGTGCCGCACTCACAGGTCGAAGACTTCTGTGGGTCGCGTGGTCTGTAGTTGGTAGAATTTGTGTGATGGTGGTAGTGGTGGTAGTGGTGGTGGTAATGGTGCCGTCTCTTGTTCTTGTCGTCGGCGTCAAGAACTTGATTAATCATCTCCATATCGGACTGGTTCCGGTCGATATGACGGTAAAGACGGTCACGGTTTCGGTTGTTTGTGGTCCAAGTACCAAAGCAATATACCTCTCTGTTGTGAACCTATCCGAGTCCTGGAAGTTGTCGACCCTGTCTTGAGCTGCGTCATCAAAATTCCAATACCCAATCGGCGGCGGTGACGGCTACGGCCCAGCGAATTGAAGTGACAATTCGGACAGGACCCGCCGAGGTGGCCAGGATTACACAACCAACTCACGACCCGCGGCCCTTCAGATAAGCGAGTAATGAGAATCGGGATTCTTCTGTTGTTGCATCATGATCGGACGCATGCCACTTAGCTGGTGGACGTAGAATCTCAGTGATGTTTGCGCCCCCTTCTCCGTCGTCCACCAGATCGAAAAGCTTTCGAACGACAACGTCCTACCCCTCGTTTTCGTCGACCTCCATAGCATCTCCTTCGTCAACAGGTGGGGGAGCTGGTGCTGCTTGCTGAATAACCAGAGACGATGCTAGACGTGCTCGCGTCTTTTGTTTGCCGGACGCTTCCGAAGTAGTAGGTTCTAATTGTGTTGACTCCGCGTAGGGAGAGCCTATGTTCGATGGTCTCTCGGATCTGATTCCATCTGGAAAGATTGGGTCCGACGGATTGCAGGGGCCATAGAACTGGAGATAACAGTTTGAGATACGCCTCCATCGAGTAAGGACAGTGGGCCGCCATCATCTTTGTTGGCATAATCACCGTCCCCTTGCATGTGTGCACTCAACCATTCTCTAACAGTCATCGGGTGGGATGGCTTTCAGTCTGGCTTATCAAATTGTGGACAGGCTCAGAAACCGCTTCAGTAGAATATAGCCTTTCTACCCTGGATGCAAATCTATCCGACTAGCCGTTCGCATAGACGTTGAAGTTTGGGCGCTTTTTTTTTTTTTTTTTTTTTTCAAAGAGAAGAGGCAACTTGCCCACAACGATTAACGCTGAGCGCTCCCGCAGATTTGTAGCGCTTAATGAGGCGCAGTTCTCAGGAGAGGAAAACTTGCGGCATAGCATGTTTCTGGATTGCGCTATTGGAAGCACTAACCGAGGCCAAGTTCATTCGCGTGGGTGTTGATGGCGTCGGTAATGCAATCTGTCTTTGTCACACACGGAGAAGTCTTTCAACTGCCTGTATCATAATTGATAGTAATGTGGCTGGAGAGAAAAGGTGATTGTTCCTCCTTCATGGCCGAGGGGCACAGCCATTATGTGGCTTTTCACGTCAAATTCGGTGCGTGATGTATGGTTGGGCTGACTTTGTCCGAGCTGTATCAGGAAGATGGCGCATCGCTGATTGAGAGCACCCTGAGCTCACACATTATGGGGTCTGTGCAGTCGGATCGCAGAAGACTTGCCCCGTGCTGCTCAGGAAGTCACTTGTGCGTCGACTCGGCGAGCGGCTTTGTAGATAAGATTAAACAAAAGTGACTGGAACGGTTCAGTATAGCCATACAGGCTAACATGAATTTAATCCATAAAAAAATCCCAGACAAAGGCACAGGCTGGCTGGCCCGTACGGACCGCCGCCGCTGGAAGTAAACCTCTTTCCAGCTGTAAAAGGCAACAGCAGACATCTCCCCTGGTACCAAGTGGAATGTAGCGCTTACCCCTTTAGGAGATTAGGCTGAGGAAGGCGAATGCGGATGAGCTCCAGGACTGAATCAAGATTATGCAGGCAGGTGTCAAAGACATCATAGACTGCGCCGTGCTGTAGAGCAGTGGCATAGATGTAGATCACCATCTGAGTTGCCCCGCCGCCAGCGGGGGAGGTCCAGAGATTGTAGGCCCAGGGATCGCGGGGTCTCCAAGACATTGCTCATTGTCAGCTGCTGAACACGGCCCCTTCGGGCGGCGATCGCGAGGCGGAGGCAATGTCCTCCTCAACTGTAGGAGGGGCGCTTGTGGTGCACTAAGCACAAGTCAGCTCAGTCCAACCTAGGAGCACATTCCACTCACGCGGTGGGGGAAAAACAATTGAAGCCAACGCGAAAAAGCAAGACATACCATGGTGACAAAGTAATCACAAAAAACACAAGGTGGGAAGTAGAATTCGATTACTTTCGATAGTCCTGTGGTGACGCATCAATCTATTTATCGCTCGGAGTTGTTCCGTGAACGTCTTCTCCTTTAGCATCTCACGCCCGTTCTTGGAACAGCGCCAGTATCGGGGCTCCTTGTTGTCCTTCATTCTGCTCAAGTGAGATGGTCATATCGAGAGACATCTTCTGTGCATCTGTATCAGATCACCGACGCCGCTTCTCCGATCATTACCCGCTCAGCAGCCATAAATCTAGAAGGAACTCTCTGACCAGCCTCGAATGGTTCTTCAAAAGACTATAAAGTCAGGCGAGATCCGCTCCGGAGCTTGGAATATTAGACTGGATTTTGACTGGCAAGTGCCTCAATGGCTGTCCGGGCTCGATCGCAGACTTTTGGAAACATGCCAAGGACAGACAGATTTTCACCAGGTAAAGAGGTTGGTGATAGGGTATCTGGAAGATATTCGGTATCGCGACTCCATTGACCCTCACCTGCTGTTGTGCGACCCCCAGTTCGGGCCATCGAGATAGCCATCGAGAAACCTCGGGATGGGCTTTTCGTTTGGGCAGAACGAGATCAACATACGTCGCAGTGTCTTTCCAAGCTGAAAATGGGTCCCTCCTTCCAGCAGCTGCCATTCTTGCGGGACAGTTTGTAGTGCGGGAAGCGTCGGTCGACTTTGCGCCTTTCGGATGTTTTGGCATAGAGTCGATAGAAAAATATTGGGGAACTGCGATGTTCTGGACGCGGATGGAAAGAGGGCGAGCGAGCGAGAGAGCAAGTGCGAACAAGAGAAAGCAACACAAGCAGGAGCAAGATGTTCGATCCGCTCCTCCTGGACTGACCGAAGCTCATTGATGTGGATGGTATTGAGAAGAAGTGCATGCATGTATTGAAACAGCAATGAACTCCTCCAATTTTAGAGAGTCTTCAGTCACAGTGGCAGAACAGTCTTGAGGATTGCCTTTTAGACCACGGACCTCATGATCGGATGCATTCTTTCTGTCGAAGAATTTGTTCCCCGAAGCACAAGCATACACACTCGATATAGACGGAACGGAAGATCCTCCCGCGGAGATCGCACGGGCTCATATCGGGGATTTCAGCCTGAAATTCGGTTAACCCACCAATGGTGGAACTCCCACCCAACAAGAACCCCTTCGAAGAAGGCGCGTGGGGGGGCAGGCCGGCGGCGCAGGCGGAGGCAAAGGCGCGGGCGGCGGGGCTGGGCCGGGCCGGGGCGAAGTCCAAGCGGCGCCGTAACCGCCGGCGAAGCGAATGAGGTAGGCGGGGCGTCGCTGGTCGATACTTAGTGTACTCTATTTTGTAATATTCGATCAGTCGCTTTATCTCGTCCGCCTCACCGGCAGCTGCGGTCTATATTAACGCAACGACGATATCCTCAAGCGATTCGTCGACCAACGACTGCGCAAGGGGGTCAGCACACAATCAACGACTGCGGAGAGTGGGAGAACTTACGGGCGTGCACCCGTTGGGACCTCTCTTGGACCTGCGGCATCGCAGGCAGTAGGTCTCTCCCGCCGCCGAAGCGACGAGAGAGCACGCCAACCCTGCCTGCGTACATCTGTGGCAAAAATTTTCAAGGTAGTCTGAGCTGTGTCTCCATGTTTATCCCAGACAAGGAGTCAGGCCAGAGAGAACATACCCGGCCATATCAGTGAATCAGCTCGAACAAATGATGCACGAGTGGCAAGACCTGCCCATTCTCTTTCTCCGTGACCCGAGTGTCCGGAACAAATTAGCCTAGCAATGGACACAATATCGAACGCCAGGTAGTCAGGTCCTAGCATACTCCACGAAGGGCTTAACCACTGCCCAACGGGACACCAGCCCATGGGCAAACAGAAATTTATCGACCCAAGCTCGTTTCTGAATTAATCCACTGCATTTGATGAAGACCGCGTTATCCTCGTCAACAAAACCTTCTAGACCTAGCAATCTTTCACGGTCAGAATCATTTGCGATTATTAAAGACACAACACAAAAAGGGTTATTTACCATCTGAAGATAATTGCGGACCCCGAAAAGTCTTTCGTCGAGGTTGCGACCTATCCATCAAGAACGTCAGTCTGGGTACATTTCGAGGAAGCCCACAAGGCTCGCGTCCAGTCCCAGAACATTTGTTATGTATGCAGTATAGGCTTCTAGGCAAGCTCCATGGATGAGAACTTCAGTGCCATAGTTCTCAAGGAAGCTGGTCACATCGCGGTGAGTGCGGAAAATGGACCGACCTATTCGTTGCAGCGATAGAATCTGCCACCGAAACGGTAGGAGCATTCTGATTAGCCAAATATCCCCATCTAGTCGTAGGTTGGTTACAACAAGGGAAGAACTTACTGTATGGCTCGAGGAAGCATCGTAAAAAACCCCGATTTGATGGACGGATTCCAGATAACCAGCTGCGTAGCACGTTATCAGCCCTCTGTTTTAGTCACGACGCACAGACGGACTGTCCCTTGGGACAACAAACTCACTTCAACTCGGTAGGCGTTTCCACCGGAGTCCTTGGTATACGATAGTATTCGTACCTGCTCACTCATTTGACGTCCATAGTATCTAGAGATCGAGCAGGGTCTTCACCTCCCCACTTGATCCCTCGAGGGATGAATTCCTTTGCCACCCACCATGGTCTTCAAGTCTTTCAAGTCCAGGCTATTGAGGTGCGCGATCGCATCGTTGAAAGATCATCGACCTCGTCAATCTGGCGACATCTTGAAAGAGGATGTCCTCTGCACCGAGCCGGGGGCCTTGAGCCCCACGGTGTATGGGGTCTAGGCATAGTCTCACGCCTCCACTTGGTTCCTCGGGGTAGTCAGCCTTTGCCCACCCCGGCCCACCACAGAGGTGTCCGGAAGCGGCCCCGACCCTGATGCTCCCACTCAAGCACGTCTTCAAGCGCCTCGCGTTTCGTCATCGTATAGAGCCTTTCCAAGCCGACGAGACTCATCCTGAGCCGGGCGAGACAGGAGATGATGACGTAGAATCTCTCTGTCAGACAGTAGGCATTAGAATCTTGGGAAAACGCACGTACAGGGACGACGACTTACTAGACACGAGGCGAAGTTCGAGACCCGCGACTTTGAACTTTCCAGCGTGGACTTTCCTCGCGCTAGCAAGCGCAAACAAGAGGCAAGATTCCCAGGGGCTCAGATGGTCCAAGACAGTCCACTCTCTCCTTTCAATCTTGCCGACCTGCGTCGACATGTCCCGGTGCCTCCATTCCTCTAGAAAAAAAAGGGGAGAAGCCATAGAACGGTGTATGAAGGCGGTGGTTGAAGAAGATGGACGACGGTCGACGATGATGTTTGACAAAGGTGATGAACGAAGGACGTAGAAGGTGGATGACGATAGTGGATGAAGTGGATGGATGGTGGATGTCGAAGATGGAGGATGAAGAAGGCAGATGACGATGGTTGATGGATGAAGATGGTTGAAAAAGTTGGTTGAAGAAGGTTGAAGAATATGGAAGAGAGGAGAAGGAAGAGAAGAAAAGAAGGAGGAGCGAGAAGAGGGAGTATTTAGGCTTGAGGATGAAGCTCACGGAAAGGAATGGAACGGCAGCCATTCACACAATGTGTGTGATTGAATGTATGAATAAGGACAATGAATGCTGTGAACAGCCTAGCCAAAAGCCAAGAACCTTGAACATTCACAAGAACAAGACCATCAAAGATAAATTTCACGGCCAGAATCCTGGCACCTAATCCAACCACCATCTACATAGCTGAGCCCAGTGAATAGCTCTACGCCGTGAATACTCTACATCCAAGACTTTCCCTACAGCCATGTAGCAAGCTTCAAACCAAGAAAAGAAATCCAATAAAACCTGACCAATGGTATATACAAGAAAAAAGTCACGATCCGCCAGGAGGATCAAACCTGCACACTCGACCCATCGCTCTTCTTGCACGAGCAGCCACACGAATCCGACGCGATCTGGGACGGCGTGCGCGCGTAGCTAGGCGGCACGTCCAGGGCCGGGTTGCGGGCGAAGAAGTGTCTGGGCCGGAGGAGGAGGGTCATGGGCTCGGCCGGCATGATGGGGTAATCCTCCGGCGCGGGGAAGTGGGTCAGGCCGAAGGTGTGCCACAGCACGATGTCGGTGTTGTCGATGGAGCTATCGGCGCCAGCCTCCTCGATCCAGGCGGGGAGACCCTGAGAGGGTTCGCCGGAGGTCTGGGGGACGTGGCGGCCCGCGGGGTGGATTTGGTCATCGGAGTCTGTTTCAGCCAAGATTAGTTTCCAAGTCTATTGGGAGCAAGCAAAAAGAAGTCGCGGGAGGTGGGGGACTCACATTTGGTAACGTGAACGGCGTGTCTGGCGAATCCAGCTCGCTTCCAGACCAGACCACCCTCCTTGGGAAGCAAAGGAGGCACCTCGCGGCTGACCAGCTTGTAGGTCACGGGCTTCTTGCTGTACGGGTGGAGCTTGTTGGTGTTGGCAATCTCCCAGGTGCGGCTGGTGTTTCCGTCGTAGTCCGACATGGCCTCGCGCGGGGTGTTGAACTTGGTCTTCTTGGCGTAGAAGGCGTTGCCGTACTTGTTCTCGGCGCTGCCGACCTCCCCGGGGCCCCGGACGGCGTCGACCTGGAAGACGGTGTTGTTGGGCCCGTCAACGTTGGCGTCCACGCGCAGACAGAACAGGTGCTGGTGGTTGTGCGCGTTGACACCGGGGTAGACCTCGGTGCCCCAGCCCTTGGTATCCTCACCGGGGTTCATAGCGTAGGTGTTCAGGATACCCGTCAGCTTGATGTCCAGCTGCACGGTGCCGTCCTGGTGGAAGATCCAGTACACGCAGTACTCGTAGTTGGCGGCGGTGAAGATGTGCGAGATGATCAGCTTGCGGGCACGGGTCACGATGACCGACTCGTCGCGGAAGTCGGTGTGCTTGAAGAGGATGCCGTTGTCCTCCTCGTGAATGCAGATGGCGTTCTTAACAATGGTGCTGGCACCGGCGCGGTTGACGAAGGCGGCATCCATGTAGTGGATGGCACCTTTGCAGTCACAGCCCAGGGAAAGACTGTTGGTCATGTAGCCACCGCCGTATTCACCGAGATCGAAAGCGTGCTTGCGCTGGTGGGGGTGCTCGGGGTTACCGTAGGGGACGACCATCTCCGCGAGCGAGAGACGGTAGAAGACCGGGCGAACGTTGCCCTTGTCGTTGAATGTGATGTTGTTGAGCACGATACCCTCGCGGTAGTTGAATCCGACGTGGATGTTCCAGTTTTGCCAGTCAATGTTGCGTCCGTTGACATTGAAGGAGACACCTTCGGGCTGGGTGATGTGGATGGGCTTAATATCCGTGCGGAAGCCACCATTCTTCTCAATGGAGTTGACGTCGTAGTTGTTAGGAGGAGCCTTGCTGATCGGTCTCCGTACAGGGGGAATATCGATGTGAATGACCTCCTTCGTCTCGGCGTTGAAGATCGGGCAGAAGTCCAAGGGGTATGTGTACTGAGAATCGTCAACGTGCGGGCGGTAGTACATGAGGGCTTGCTGCAGGCGGACATCGGTGCCGAAGCGCTCGTCGTATCCGATAGTCCAAGCTAAATCCAGTCAATACCAGCATCAAAAAGTACCGAAGATCAAAACTCACGATCGCAATAGACCTTGTGCATTTCTTCCTTGGGAATGCCGATGATAGCACACTGTTCGATAACCTTAGGGTCCTTGCGGACGATCGACTCCACCTCCTGCAGATCCTCCATCGTGATCAGAGGCTGCACGCCAGGTGTGTGCTTCCACTCGATCACCTTCTCCTGCTCAAGATCCACAATGCCATCGTAGACCTTGCCACCGGGCGCGATGGCAACCACGTCTGCCATACGGACAGGGCGAGGGGCCTTCTGAGGATCCGCCAGCCAGGCCATCATCTCGACCTTGCGGGGCTCGTAGAGTGTGACCGCATTGAAGTTGACTTTGCCGTGCTCCTTGCGAATCAGGGCCACCGCGGTATCTATTTCCGATGTCGAAAGAGGATCGAGGGGGTGAGGAGGAGGCGCAGTGGCCTTGACATGGTGAGCCAACTGTTGCAAGCGGTCGAGAACCATGATGTGCAGAGTTAGAGTATGGCAAGGGAGTGTTTGGTCGTTGTGTCCTCGTGGGGTCCGGAGTTCGAGGAATGTATAACTATTTCTGAGAAAGTGTGGGGTAGAGCCGGGAGATTATCACGGCGGATGCTGGAGAGAGTGAGTAGACACAGACACAACCAGCACAGTCTTGTGAGACTCTTTAATTATTCCGACAACCATGAAGGGCGGACCCAGTGGGTTTTAAAACAAACCGTGTCCAACAGCCATCTGTGCGAAGGGTAGGAGTGACTGAGTGACTTCGTTCCGGATGAACGATAACAGCAGCGGTGTATACGATAAGCGCACCTGGCATGGAGAGTGCATCGCCGATAAACCCAAGACCCGGATCCCTTTTCCCAACCTAGTCTAGCGTCCGATATGTGGCCGAGGCAGCCGAAAGCGGAAATGAGAACCTGAGCGGGCCAGACTCAGCATTCGCATGCTTTTACCCAATGCTTCAGTTGCGGGATGAGGGGTTGATAGTACTCCGTAGTACTAGGTAACTTACTTCGTAGGCTTTAGGTAGTAGTAATCACACATAGTAATCCAATGCGATCTGTCAAACCCCCTCCCCACTCTCTCCACCTATCGCATCCCCCCATACACTAGACTCAGCACTGCCAACGGAAGTGGCAAACCCCCCAAGTGACACATATCGGGATATGTCAATTCAAACTGGAACCTATCTCTAACAATGACAATTTCTTTACGCTCAGTGATAAGAAGCCGATCGGGTATCGCATCGCATCGCATCGCTCCCTCAGCAGATAAGTCCCGGAAACGCCACCACAACAGTATGAAAGAGAGAAAAAAAAAAGAGGATCATATTCCAGCCGTAAGAAGAACACCATACACCCTTGCAGAAACCCCACCTCCAAGACTATACGAAGGCACTTCAGGCGATGAACTCCATGGACGAACCGAGAGAGCAAACTAGCAACACAAACGAACAAGGAACAAATGCACCAAGAAAGCACAACCGATGCCACATGCTATGTACATCCATCAAATCGTATAGGGTTTCCTCCCATCCCTCCCACCGGGTACAGACCAGCTAAAAAAAAAGAAAATAAGGCAAAGACAAACCAGAAATCCCAGCTTAGACATCAGCAATTGAAAGCACATATGTATCCACCATATCGAAAACACCCTCGGATGGGCGGGATTATCGTGGGCCGCAGTGTAGGTTCCTATACAGAAACGAGAAGGATAAAGAGTTAAATGTTCGGGAGGATTGCGAAGGCGAGATCGTAGACCTCGGCGCACCTGGCTCGAATGCCTTAAAAAAAGGAGGGGAGACGATGCGGACTGCCGATCAGCGCGGACCAGAAAAATCCCTCACGATTTGGCAGCCTGGAACTGTGCCAATACACCGCCAGTACCACCAGGGGTCATTGTGTGTGGTGTTTGGCTTCCGCCGATGTGACCAGCGTTGGGGGTGCTGGGGGTGCCCGTGGCCGAGTAGATGGTGGCCCCATTGAGGTTGGGGGTCTGGTGAGGTTGCATGTGGTACAGCAGTGCTGGCATCTGGCCGTTCAAGCCCCAGATCTGCCCGGAGTATTTCGAGTCGTCGATGGTGCCGCCGAAGACCAGCTGGCGCATCTTCCAGTAGATCTCGCCGGTGACGAGGGAGTCGGACCCAGCCTGGTGGGCGATTCCCACGCGCTTGACGCCCAGCTCGTCCGCAATGTCCTGAAGACCCGACTTCTGACCGAGATTCGTCAGGATCTGGGCCGCGGCCGGGGTCAAGGGGATGTCGTTGACGGCCTGGTTGCGCCCGGCGTGCTTCATCAGGTACTTAATATCGTACAGCGACGGGAAGAAGATGTTCAAGAGCTTGTGGAACTCCTCCTCGCTTTCCGGCAGCGGCTTGCAGAGCATGATCTTCATCAGGTAACCGAAATCGTAGCCGGAGTGGAACGAGACCCAGTGCACGTCGTCCAGCAGGACTAGCCCCGAGCTGATTAGGAGCGCGCCAAACTCGAACGGATCGATGCCGTTCTTCTCGTGCATCGTAAATTCAATCCCCGCCTTGGCCAGCATCGCCGTCGACTCCTGGGCGTACATATCCTCCTCCAACGAGAACCGAAAGTTGAACTGCCACGTGCAAGGGGCCGGGACGAGGCTGTTGCCGAGGGGCTGACCATTGGCGTCGGTGGCATTCGGGGGCGGGACCTCGCCCTCGGCAGAGAACAGGGTGATGCCGAGTTGGATCATTTTGAGGAGGTCGACGTTACACCGGAGGGTTTGGTAGTGGTAGTCTGCTTTGTTGGTGAACGCTCCGATCGGGCGTGCGACGATGCCGGGAAATTCGGTGTCCTAGGACGATTGGTTCCCGTTAGCTTACACAACAGTTGCAATGCGATGCGCGCGATAGGACAGAAAGTGGTAAGCGCGGTTTAGGCTAGAGCGATGACTGTGCGAGCGTGTGTTGCGTGCCGTCCCCATCCACGTTTCGAGTCGAGGAGTAGGCGCCTTACCATGCTGATGTACGGGTATTTCTCCACGAACTGCCGCAAGATGGCCATCTCCTGAGCCAGGTTGTGGCTCCATACATCACGGATCCGCGTCTTCACGGCGCCGCCCGCCTTGGACTCGAGTGCGATCCGCCCGTCATGGGCCTGATGTAATTGCTGTTGTTGCATCTGCGCCCCCCGGGCGAAGCCCATCTGAGCCGCATGGCTGGCGAGCCCAGTACCGCCTGCATCCGCGGCGCCTCCGCCAAAGCCTGCCACCGAGATGCCATTTGCAATGCCGGAGCCGGAGAGGGTGAATGGGTTGATGTTGGTATTGGGATTCCCGGCGGCGAAACCCGGGTGACCACCGAGGGAGGGAGGAGGGAGAGCGGTGTTGGCGGATTGGGCGTGGGCGGGGTGATGTTGTTGTTGCTGTTGCTGTTGCTGCTGCTGTTGTTGTTGGGCTGCCGCGACCGCTGCTTGCTGGTGTTGCTGCTGAAGATGGGCCTGCTGCAAGTGGGTATATGAAGAAGCGCCCAGGCCAGCAGGCCCGTATCTGCCGACAGGAGGTGGCATTATCGATGTGAGAACACGGGGGACTGAGCAACCGTCATAAATCGGGTTCGAAGGTGAGGAACTCGGATGATAGCTGTAAGAATAAGAGGAACAAGGGCGAGACGAGCACGAGCACGAGCACGAGCACGAGTGTGGCGGTGGTGGTGGTGGTGGTGGTTAGTTAGTGATCGAGTAGGATTCGGGGGACCTTTTTCGCAGTTTGGGGGAAGAGGACGGAGAGTTGAGGTGCAGTGGGAGGAGTGAGAGTGGAAAGGCGGACAACGGAAGCAGAAGAGAACTGCCCAGTGCCAGGTGCAGTCGGACCTCACACCTCATTGACTCGAATGATGGGACTCGGGAAGCTACAGAATCGTCCAAATCCGGAATAGCGCGCCAAGATCCAGGCCTTCTCTCACTTGACTCTCTCTCACACTGTGCAGTGCACGTACAGCTTCAACTTCCCTTCCCCGTCTCCCTCCCTCAATTGTCACCCCACAATCCGCAGACCCCTTATAAACTCTGCACCTTCTGACCTCGCCAAACCCCAATTCATCCATCCTCCCAAATTACCCCCCGAGAATCCAACATAATGGCCCGTACCAGCCCCACCGGTTTCGACCTCAACGAATTCAAGGCCGCCGCCCACCCCCGGTCGACCTGGGCCAAGAAGGACCCCTGGGCTCGCTAGTACGAACCAACCTTCTCCTCAAATCTCTCATTCAGCCGTTCGCAAATCGAGCATCTTTTTGTACTAACGCAGGCCCAAAAACAGCGAGGCATGGAGATACACCGGCCCCTTCAGCCGCTTCAACCGCTTCAGGAACATCTTCCCCGGCCTCGGCATCGCCACCGTCGCCTTCGCCGGCTACTGCGCCTACGAGGCCGTTTTCCTCAAGGATGACCACCACCACGGTGGCCACCACGACGAGAAGCACCACTAAAAGCCGTTCGGTCTCAGCATATCACACGATGAGCGGGGCGGAGCGGGTTCGGTTCGGAGTGGTTCAGTTTGAGACAGGGGGTGGTTATTAGTCGATTACAAAGCGTCGCAAAAAACCCTACATCGGAATTGTCGGAATCGAATGGAAGTTGCTGCGCGGGTCGTGATGGTGACAGAAGAAGAAAAAGGAAATGGGCAAAGGGGGCCCGCGGGATGGGGAACGGATACCCGAATACATCGGATTGCTGCGGAATCAGCTGGTGTTTTGGAAGGAGGGAGGACAAGGGATGCGCTGCTTTTCGCGACTGTGATACTATAAATCGTGTGGTTGAAGGTTGAGGATTGCGTGGGCTTTTCTAGAGGGATGGAAAGCGAGACTCGTTGTTTTTCCGTCTAATACCTGAAGTCTCTTGCTTTTGGACGGTAGGGATGAGTGCAGTGGCTCGCAGCTCTTTCGGTGGTGAAGAAAAGGGCGCTTGCGCGGGATGAGGCGGGGAGATAGGTTATGTACATAGATATCATGTTTCAAATTTCGTTTTTTTTGTTTATCTGTGTTAGCCATGTGTAAAATCTGGTACTCGTATCTTCATTGTCGGCTAATGAGTTGATTGTGAATTCATGTTGTTGCTTATGGTAAGTAGATACTAGGTAGCTGATACGGATACTGTCGTCATTAAAGCAAAGGAACCCTCGGCACAGCCAATTGTTTATCAAGCATTGGTCATCAGATATCATTCATATAAAATTAAAAGAAACCCTTACCATCCCCGATCCAAACACATTGCACACGTCTATACATGACTTTTCCAGTCTAATCATATCATGCGAAGTAAAAAGGAACCAAATACATAAAAATTACTCCTCGAAAACCAAGGAGATGCCATCATCACCCGCCGTAACCACCCGCTTACCATCCTGGCTCTGCACAAACGCCATGATACCGCCAGACTGCTCGCCCTCGGAGTTTTCGATCAAGCCCAAATGACCCTTCCACTCCTTCAGCAGACCGTGCGCAGCAGCCGCGGTACCACCGCGGGCGTCCCACCGTCTCACGATGCCGTCCATACCGACAGTCGTGAGCAGCCACGACTGGCTCTGCGGGACCGCAGCACCGGGGCGGGGAGGCGCGGAGCCAACGCCGGGGCGGTTCTGCAGGAACTCGACCTTGACGACGGCGCCCTCGTGGGCCTCCCGGATGTGCCGGCGGACGGCGAAGCGGTGCGCGGCGTCGAAGAGGGCGATCGAGCCGTCGACCGACCCGGCCGCGAGGAGAGTCAAAGGTGGGGAGGAGAAGGACAGGGTTTCAACGCCGTCGGACTGCGCCTGCAAGGAAGCAAGAAGCGTGCCGGCCGCCGAGGCGCCGGTCTGCGCCTGCGAGGCCGCCTTGCCCTTGGCCTTGCCGGCGGCAGCACCACCCGCAGCCGCCAGACGGGGGAGACCGACGACCTTGATGTGGCCCTCGGCACCGCCGACGGCGGCGATGGCACCACCGGGGGAGATGGCGATGGAGTACAGGCCGCCGTCGACGGCGAAGCGCTGGTCCTCGGGGGTCAGGCCGACGACGGTGCTGGTGCCGGCGGCAGAGGCCACACCGGCGGCGGCGGCGACGCCAAAGACGTCGTAGACGTAGAAGCTGCCGTCCTCGGAGACGGTGCCCAGCAGGTTGCCGTCAGGGGTCCAGGCGCCCGCGGTGCAGGAGGCAGTGTGCTGGAAGAAGGTCTGGATGATGGAGATGGGCTGGGCGGCGTCGGTGTGGTCGATGCGGAAGACCCAAGCGCTACCGTCATTGGCGCCGATGGCAACCACGTTCTTCTTCTCCTCGTCGCCGTTCACGTTGGGGCACACGGCCAACCAGTTGATCTCCTCGACTTCCTGCGTCTCAGCGACCAGCTCCCACGCGACGCCCGTGAGTTGGGGTGTGGAGTCCCGGTAGGCGCGCAATTTGCCGTCCAGGCCGGCCGTCACGACGTACTCGCCCTTGGGCTCGGTGAAAGCTACCGCATTCACGGTATCCGTGTGGCCGACCAGCTGCGCCAGCGGCTGCAGAGACTCGCGCTCTTGTTTCGGTTGCGGGTTGGATTCGTAGCTCTGAGGGAGGAGGGGCCGCGCGGCATTTGGTGTCGAGTCGAAGATATAGGCCTTGTCGTCACCGGAGCCGGTGATGACGATCTGGTTGTGGACGGGGTGCTGCGCGATGCAGAAGACCGAGTCGGTATGGCTGTCGAAGTGGGCGGCCGAGTCGTTCTCCAATGTGATTTCTTGTTCTTCGTAGGTCATAGGCTGATCCTCGTCTTCGCCGTCGGACTCCATGGGCTGATCTTCATCGCGGTGGAAGATTTCCTCGGCCTCGTCGGCCTGGATGTAGGCGTCATCGGCCTGACGGTGTTCTTGGGAGGACATGGTATAGTATGCGCTGGGGGTATAAGGTGTGAGGGTGCGCAACACAAGGAAAGTAAAGTCTCTTCTGCGAAAGTCAAGGAAGATATAGAAATAAAGAAATCAAAAAAACTGCAATGGGAGGAAAGAGGCAAGAAGTGAGTGAGTAGGAGCAACTTATTTTTTTTTTCTTAGGTCCATGAATTCTCCCGGTCAACCACCCCGCTTAGAAATTCATTTGTTCCCCGCGATCCAGCCAAACACTGCAAACATCCATTGAAAGTTGCCCCGATGGTTTCTAAGCCGGCGGAGAAGGAGCCAGATCTTTCCGAATATGTACTGTACGGAGTACTTTGTTGTACCATAGTATGAATTGGAATTGCGAATTGCTCAGTTGTAAAATATGTATCCAAATGAAATATTTACACATGACCACCTATCTAGTGATGTCTACCTCGCAAACTTCATATAGCAAAAGCTACCAATCGCTGCCCCAAGCGCACACGAAGCTTAAAGTCTCGAGCCTGCCTGTCTGCGGGCCTCCTTCTCCTGGTCGCGCAACAAACGCCGCAAGATCTTGCCACTGGGGCTCTTGGGGATGACATCGAGGAAGCGAACCCCACCCTTGAGCCATTTGTGCCGGGCCTTGTGCTCCTCGACGTGCTTCTTGATCGACTGAATCACTTCCTCATCACTGCCCGTGGCGGACGGGGACTTCACTACGATCGCTTTGGGGACCTCGCCAGCGGAATCGTCGGGGATCGCGATCACCGCACAATCCGCCACGGCAGGATGCGTGAGAAGATGGGCCTCCAGCTCAGCCGGCGCAACTTGCAAACCCTATGCAGACGTGACACGTCAGTGACCATGGTGCATGATAGCAAAGGCAAGGGTCGAAAGCATCGCGCAACTTACTTTGACTTTGATTAATTCCTTGATGCGGTCTACAATGAAGACGTGCTCGGTCTTCTTAGGGCTCAAGCGGATGACGGCCTCGTCGCCCGTATACATCCAGCCGTCTTTGAATGTTTCCTTGGTGGCTTTGTCGTTGTTTAAGTACCCCAATACAACGCTAGGGCTGCGCACGACAAGCTCCCCGGGAGTATCGTAGCCTGTAATTTCTTCGCCTTCTGGCGTTACTAGCTTGGCCTCCACCCCGGGCAGGATCGTGCCGGAGGAGCCGAACCATACATCCCAAGGATGCGTGGAGGTGACAACCGTCGATGTTTCCGTCAAACCTATTGTACGATGTTAGGACGAGTCGGATGCTGGCACCTGCATTCTCTTACCGTATCCTTGTCTTATCGTCACCGATGGATAAAGTTTCTGGAACTCTTCGGCGGTTTCCATCCCCAGGGGCGCGGCACCCGTGAAGACGGATCTGACGGCAGTGAGATCGTATTTGGTGCAAGTCTTCGCATTGCGAATCATGTTGATCAAGATCGGAGGGACCTATACGGTTTTCCAGTCAGTTTGCGGAGTCTCGTGGTCTCATCCGCGCAGCACTCACCACAAACAACGAAGTGATCTTGAAATCCTGAATACAAGCCAAGAAGGAATCGAGCTCAAATCTGGGCAGCACCACCACCTTATCCCCTCTCCACGGCCCAGCGTGACACATCACCACGAGGGAGTAGATATGGCTCTGCGGGAGCAAGCACATCACAACATCGGTCGGTTCACTTTGCGTTCCGGGATCCTTGCGCGAATCGCGGTAATCCTGCTCGAATGCTTTGATCTGTAGTACGTTGGCGATGACGTTGCGATGTGAGATCATGACTCCTTTCTGCCAGCCACTCCAACCATTAGCCTTTTATTTTCTGCTTCTGGGACCAGGTCTGCCATCGCAGCCACCTACCGGCAACCCGGACGTGCCACTGGAATAGCACAGGAACGCCGTCCGACGAGCCCCCTCCCCAGGGCCCCAATTCAAAGCTTCCACTTTTGGCAACGACTTCCCTGCTTCGACCAAATGATCCACCGTCTTGAACTCGGCTGGAGCCTTGGCTCCCGGGGTGAGTTGTGCGGGCACCTCGAGCAAGAAGATGCGATCCCTGGGCAGACCGGCAGCATCGGCGGCTTCCAGCGCCGTCTTCAACAATGGCACACATGTGAATAGCACAGTGGCCTTGGAGTCCTGCAGCTGATATTTGAGCTCAGCGGCCGAGTAGGCCGCATTAGCGGGACTGGCTACTCCACCCAGTCGATGCACGGCCCAGGAAAGCGTCAATGTATCAATCTAGGAAGCAGAAGAAGCAAACGGTGTCAGCTACCTAACCCATCTCTATCCACTGGATCGACGTACGGTATTCACGCTGAAAATCGCCAAGGTCTTATCCCACTCGCTGCCTGCATTGGGCTGCCAGTTGAATTGGCTCGAGAGCGAGCGCGCCAGATACTCGACGCGATCTACCACATCCAGCCATGAATAAGTTTTGCTGGTGACTCCACAAGTAAAAGGGTTCTGCGAGTAGCCGAGAGGGTTGCGGCCGTGGAGATCGGTGAGCATGAACTCAGCGAGGGAGATGCTGTCGGGAATGGGCGACAATTTGCCGGCCGATTTGGGGGGACCGAAGACCATGGTTCTGGTTTCGCTCGGAGGTGGTCGCTGGTGAGAAGGGAAGTGGTTAGGGGAAGTTGGAGAGAGAGAGAAAAGATTGAAACTAAAAGATGAGCTAAATGGAAGATGGGGAGAAGGAGCAATAAGTATACGGGCCGGGGGGGGGTCTTGCGGGGAAAGCTTCTCCTTGTCGGCGGGAAAGCCGAGGCTTTTGTGTAACTGGGATGGATTGATTCAATTCGCAAGGAACCGGTTGGACATACCCATGGACGGTGATTATCTGATGTGGCTGAGAGTTTCCATCAAGTCTGTTCCAGATTATGGGAAAACACTTAGACTGTGTACTTCAATGCTCCAATAGCACATATTTAGGAAGACTGTAGTATGCAAAGTGTAGTAAAATCAGTGGTGGTGAAATAACCGAGGCAGCCCGTTGTTGTTGTGGTGGTGGTGGTGATTGTGGAGAGGGTCTTTTTGCCTTCCCCGCATTTTGCCTTGGCCGGCCGAGGGGGAGAGAGCAAAGAGAGAGCAAAAAGAGAGATCGCCGCTCCCTATCTTTGGGACCTGCACCTTCCCAAATCTTGGTCTAGCTCTTCATCCTGCTTCATGACCAAGCATACGCATAATTATTCACAACGCCGACGTTTAAAATTGTCCAAGCTCTAGTCTCGACCTCAATGGCAGTGAGCAGCTCATGACATCAAGGAATGTGGATGCGAATGCGGAAATCGAGCTGCCACCGTTACACTGCCATCCTCCTCCACTTGCCGGTAGACTAATACCCCCGACCGTTGCGATGATCGTCAATCATTCACTGCCCCGGGTTGATCGTTGATCTTCCGCTTCGCTGCATGTTCGGCTTTTATTATCCAGATACTATTCTCAGTCACTGCAAGTACTGAACAAAGCGATCACATCAGCGACAGCAGCAGACACACCTCGATGAACTCCCCAAGGCCCGTTGCGAACCATCGACATACACATTGCTCCACTCAATAAGGCCGTCGTACATCTTCTTGACGCAGCAACCTTCATCACCCTTCATCTCCCAGACATTTGGAGCTTGTCTACGTCTCCCGCTCCCCTCTCGCAAACCTGCCTCATCGAACAAGACAATCAATCCATGGACCGCTGCGAAAACTGCGGCGGCGAGGGCCATCCCACCAAGGAATGCCCCGTCCCGCGCTGCTACACCTGCCTGAAGCTGGGCCACCTCGCGCGCGCCTGTCCCGACCAGATCTGTCGCACCTGCCATCAACGGGGCCACGAGGCGCGAGATTGTACGGACACAAAACAATAAGACACGCACCCAGTGAGCATGTTTCTCATCTGTTGGATGACGATGACGTGCTGATCGGAATGGTAGATAGATTATGGCTTGGAGTTTTCAGGTTGCAATCAGGCTTGAATACATTCTGATGGGTTTGTCTCGCGAATTTGGGGATATTGGATAGACTGGAGTCGGGCGCATTTGGTTCGATATCGCAGAATCTCAGTTTGACCTCCAGAATCCGCGCGCTTTCCGTGTCGTGGGATTTGCAAGTTTGACTGCAGGTTCAAATGTTGATGATTCTTGGATGTATTGCCCTTGGATGAACGAAGAAATGATTTTCAATTAATGGAGCTGTTCCCTTTGCAAATGAGAATAATGGACCTAATTGAGTGACACAGTCAATGGAACAGCCAAGTTCTCAGACAATCTGGCAGGATTTTGTGAAGCCCTAGCTTGGCACATAGTGTTTTCTGGCTTGAGGCGTACCATGAACGCTATCCGCACGAACTAACTGGAAGCCTAGGTTGAGTTCATCGAACCCTGGTAAGCACAGGAGCAGCAACAACTCCAACAAAGAACCTCGCCAGGCACAGGCACAGGCACAGGAACTGGGAGGCTATGGTCAGAGCTTCAAAATACACCAATAATGTTCTCCTTCTGTCTTACAAGATCTAATGATTTCCCACGATGAATTATGTCCAGATGCGCCGCCACAAAGAAGGGCCACTGCGAACCCTTGTGTCAGGAAAGGAATCAACAGCTTGCACCTCGCTTAACCAGCAATGCAATCAGACCACCCTGAAAAAGACAGGATAACCTTCAGGCTAAGCCTTTCTGACGCGGGGAGACCTTCTACAAAACGACCTGATTCCATGCGGGGGTAAAATGGTCCACCGCCTGACACTCAACCGGGCACTGCAGCTTCTCCTTCCCCCTCGCGTACCGGATAAAAGCCACGCCTGCAGCATCCTACCAGCTCATACTTGGCCGAAACCCCGCAAACCACAACAAGCGATCAACATGATTAAGTTACCCGCTATCGAATGTGTGCTGCAGGCAGTTTGCAAGCTGCGGGGAGAGTCATCTATCACCACCTCAACAACACACACACACCGGATGCGGCATCCGCAGCCGGCTAAATAGGGAGGGATCCCGACCGTCCGCGACACTTTTCCCAACGGTATGATGCACAAATTCGACTAAAGGGCGGGAGAGGGAGTCTCACAGGGTCGTGGAGAAAATATAAATACACCCAGCGTTGGTGACTGAAGCTCTTAAACTCTAATCTTCGGCTCCAGCATTCCTCGAATTCTTGTTCCCCCCTTCACCACCATGCGACAAGTGCTGCTGCCGCCGCTAGTGCTGCTGCTCTTAGGGCTCGAGGCATCCGCCTCAGCCTGGGGGCCGCGGAAATTCACCACTCTAGTCACCTTCGGGGATAGCTACACCGACGATACACGGTTTGCCTACTTTTCCACACACAATGACTCCGCTCCTCCGGTAGGATGGGTTGAACCGGACGTAAGCCGACTTACATTGCCTCTCACAACCCCAACCCCAACTTCCCAATCTCCCCCTTCACGAACACCAATTAACCCACCCAAAACAGGCCAACATCTCCTCCTCAGGCGGCCCAACCTGGCCGCACTACGTCTCGACCTTCCACAGCGCCACCAAAAACCGGTACAACTACGCCGTCGCGGGCGCCACCTGCTCCAACGAGATCGTCGCGCGCGCCTACGACCCCACGGCGGGCTACCTGTTCCCCTCCGTGCTGGACTACGAGGTGCCCGCCTTCGCCGCGGACGCCGCGGCCTACACCGACCCTCCCACCAACAAATGGTTCCTGGACATCCCCGCCGACGAAACCGTCTACGCCATCTGGATCGGCACCAACGATCTGGGGAACAATGCCTTCCTCACGGACTCGCAGCTGAACAATGCCACGCTCGTGGATTATCTGGACTGTGTGTATCGTGCGCTGGATGGGGTGTATAACGCTACCACCACCACCACCACCACCACCACCGGGAAGTCAACGCAGAAGGAGAAGGGTGCCAGCAGCAGAGCAGCGAAATACTTCGTGATCATGAATGTGGTGCCGTTGCAGCTGGCGCCGTTGTATGCGACCCCAGAAAACGGCGGGGTCGGGCCGAACAATTACTGGAAGGATAAGCCGGCGAATCTGACGGAGATCAGTGGCCGCATGGAGGGCCAGGTCGTCCTGGTGAACGAGGCGTTTCGGTATCGGACGCCCGTCGAGGTGTTGGTGAAGAAGCGGTGGCCCGGGGTGCAGGTGGCGGTTTTCGATGTTTATTCTTTGGTGGGTTCTCTTCCTTTTTTTTTTCTGGGGTGCAGGGGGAATGGGGATGGGAGGAGGAAGGTTGCTTGGGGAAAGTGCTACGGAGTGGGTTATGTTGAGTGCTGATGCAAAAAGTGGCAGATTTCGAAGATCTATTACAACCCTACACAGTATCTGAACGGGAGTGCGCCGGCGAATGTCACCGGGTTCGAGTATCATTGCAATATCAATGGGACGGACTGTACCAAGTCGGACAGCCCGGATTCGTTCCTGTGGTTTGATCAGCTGCATCCGTCGGCGCGGACGGATCAGATCATCGCGGAGGAGTTCATCAAGGTGGTGAGCGGGGAGAGTCGGTTTGCTGAGTATTGGTCGTGAAAGGGGTGAAGCGGGGGAGTCTATGTTGTTTAGATGTGATAATGAGTAATGAGATTGGCTTTCGTTTGCTTGATGTGCAGTATATCATGCTTACCACCTAGTGTATGGACTTAATGACCGCATAAAAGGCCTATTTTACTCTGGGCTGGTTAGGGAAGAAGGACCCTGCGTTACGCAGCTCGCAATCGATTCGCAGATTTCGAGCGGGATTATGATAATTATTAAGAATAACAGGGTGGTGGGACGAAGGAAATCAGCCGACTATGGGCAGACATCACATCCGATACTTTGATATTTAATCTTTGCAGTACTTAAAGAGTGCTAGACTCGACTGTTAGTGATAAAGCTGACCAAATCCAATAGATATCCTGGGTATTGCAATTCCATGCACAACAGATAATACACTCAATTGCTTTCTGATGCTTCACAGATTATGGGAGTATCCAAGAGAGGAACAGTGTTCGAGCGCTGAAGAAAGATCGTTTCCAAAGCCTGTGCTATAACACCAATCACAATTGACTCTAAATGCGTGCTGGGTTGACCCATGCGTCAGGTATCAATCAATCCACTCGAGTCCTCTTCTGCGGTCGCCCACCCAGATTCAAAGCAGCAAATGTGCTTGCATCCAACCCGGGCGCCGTATGCTCCTCGATGATCTTACGAATCGCCTCCGCGATGCCCCGCGCGATAGGCGGCGGAAACGATGCAATGATCTGAGAACGAAGGGCCTTGTCAGCGCCATAGAAAATGTAATCATCAGGAAACCCCTGGATGCGAGCGCATTCGCGCACCGTGAGAATATCGTGGCGAGCTGTTGCCAGTTAGCGGTGAGTCAAGCACAATGCAACAGCGACTTACTAGGGTGCAGCCAGCCGTGATCGCTGTAAAGTGTTGGCAAGATGATGTTGCTCTCAAAGTCGACGGTTTCAAAGTACGGCCTGTCAGCCGCGTCAGGCAGCTGACCGGTGCCATGGTTGTAGACATTGACCTGACCCGCAGGATTCAAGAATACATGTTTCCCTGCTGTAGGGTGTGTGTCATCCGCCCGAGGGTTCTTAGACTTGAGATGCCCGATCTGCTCTTCGATGCTCTTTGTGTCAAGGTGGGTCGCAGGCCAAGGGACGTCGGAGCAGATGGGAGAGGCAAGCAGGACGACGTATGTCTGACTGTTCGAGATCCCATGATCTGGTAGACGGACGCTGAAAACATGCACTGAGTGTCGTTTCTTCAGGAGTTCGAGAACAGCCTTTGCAAAAGAAGGAAGGTACTGTGGATGCAGAATCCCTGCTGGCTGTATACAGACCAGAAAGTCAAAGTCGTCCTCGCTGGCATTCAGTTCATCGATTATGTTCAGAAGGGGCAGGTCGAAGTCGGGGTCTTCACCACCTCCGATGACCAATGGCCCAGTCTCCGAGAAGATCAGAACTTTCGGAACGCCAGCTTTCACGTCCTGAGGAGGCAGCAATTTTCCGCGTCTCATGTGCGAAAGAACGGACGGCGGACTTTCATCGTAAGTAGTTGCTGTAGGATACCTGGTCTATCATCATGATTAGATCTAGCGATGAGGGTGGGTCGGGTCAGATCTGGAGATTGCAAATTTACCTTCCAACTCATGTCCTGTTCCGAGTCGAATCCCAAACCAGCGATGATGTCAAATTCAGCCTGGGAAAAACCTTCAGCGAGTCCTAGATCCCGTGGACTGAGGTCAATGACAATAGGCTTGGATGGCGCATAACGAGGGCGCTTCCATCGATCTTGACGGGAAAGTAACCCAGAATTTAGTGGCGTGATGCAAGCTGCGTTCGCATCGCTTCTATCGCGGATAGCAAAGCGACAGAAGTAACCGGCACTTTGAGGTTCTGCATGCTTGATTAGTAGGAGAAAGAGACGATCGGACTTGGCGCCTTGGGAGACCTACCATCTGCGGTAGGGAGCAAATGTAGAACAGAGTCTTGAGATGTCAGTGCCTGGGCCTGCGTAATGTCATCAAGAAATATGATTTCTCCATCTGATTTCTGGCCCAAAATCGTGGAACTGCAGAACAAGTTCATTTTCTCGGACTGGGAGTGTGAACCTCGAAGAGAAAGGGGGGCTCGTGGACTGAAATAAATAAAGAGACCCTAGTAATGCAATGCTCTCAGATTCGCCTGAAGGGCTTTCGGTCCGGAGAATGTCATGCACCAGGAAAATACACTGTACGTTTGCTGCATGCCCACCTGAGGGCTTCAGTGTGAGTTGCGAGTATTCGTCCCGTACGAAAGCGTGATTGAGACGCTGACAGGAATACTCCCAATGAGGGACAGCGCTTGCACCAGGCAACTAGGAGACGGAAAGTCGGTAAAACATGAAGACTAGTAATAGAGCATGGCAACTGAGCTTACCTGAGATCTTCGAGGGAAAATCAGCTTCTCAAACTGCACCACAAAGTTATCTGTAACCCATTCATTCCACTCGATCCTTTTACCATGTTCCAATTCACGCTCCTTTGCCAATTCTTTCATTCTTTGGGCGCAGACGGGCAGACAAGACATTGTTTCTCCATCACTGGTAGGTGTACTGTAACCTGTTGAACCAATAGAAGGAACCACTTGAGAGCAGAGACGCCGTGGCCCATACTGTCTTATAGATGTCGTTTCAGGATCCTCGTCCTCATCGGAATACATAATATCGTCTGGCTTTGCATGGAATGGGATGTTGATAACTGCCAAACCATGGCCCGATGAGCGCGGCTCTGGAGCGATGGCATCTGGTGCCAATCCATAGATAGACATATCACGATTTGTCGCGACGAGAGGGAAATATAACTCCTCACTGTCCAGCCCGCTGAACTGAGCCTCGTGAACATTGAACGGAGTAGTCGTCATCTGACAGCCGCAAGCAGCAACCATGACTCCGTCTTTGGGAACCCCATCTTTCACCACAAGATTGTTGTTAGCTATAATTCAAATTGGATTTCTGGCCGCAGTAGGAATGAATGATATGACTGACCAGTCCGAAACAAAGTTTCTTCCTTCAAGTGGGAGCATGTGCTTTCACGATGAAGCGTCACAACATAAAGCAAATTCGGGCCGACAATGTCGCGCAAGAACTCGCTATCTTTACACTTCCAGGAGACTCTAAGTTTGAGTGGCTGTCCTGAAAGCTTGATGGATACCATTCTTGGCATCAACAGAAGGCTATCCCTTGCTGCGAGTCGCAAAGAGCGGACAAGGTCAGGGTCAAGAGGGTTGGTGGATACCATACGTGGCATCGACCGAAGGCTACCACTTACTATAACTCGTATAGAGCGGACAGGTTTAGGGTAAGGAGGGTTGATGACCTGTTCAAGCGTCTGCCCGTAGAGATCCTCAACCAGATGATCACAGAAGAACACACTCTGATCATCAATGTATGGAGTACTCATTTCGTAGCTGAGACATGGTGCCGCGCCATGGGCTGTATCGGACTTCAGGTATTTGTCATGAACCTTCAAACATCGAGTATCTCTACTGAAAAGGACAGTCATGTTCTTATCTTTAGTGGTGACATACTCAGTCGACAGTGTCCGAGTTGCCGAATGCATGGCCAAGCAAGCTGCTAATCCCCGCTGTATATGCCTTGAGAACTGCGTGGAATGCTGCGTTGAGGCCTTCAAACTCTTGAAACAATGTTGTATCTCTTCGTCGGGCGTTCGTACAAGATTGTGGGTCCTCAAAATCTGCCAAGTCTTCTTCGGTAGACCAGCTGGCTTCCGTCGAAGATTTGTGATTATTGTATTAGGATCCTAGTCAAAGCTATGGTTTTAGCGACGATGATAAAGCAATGTAGATGAAGTTCATACTGTTTCCTTCAAGTCGGGACAATAGTAGAACCTTCCAAGGCTGATTTCTGCGAGCCTCTTCCAGATGGCCTCAGCTGTGGGTTTCGCTACACATTTCTCTACTAAGGTGACATCCGCGTAGTCGAAATCACTCTCGAACAAGTCTTGGTATCGAGAAAATGTAACCCAAAAATTCCAATCGAAAGCAGACGCCCATATCCTAGATATGACTAGCGCCTCATCCGTTGGACTTGCCAGAGACTGGCGCCCACGATCCGTTTCTCCTGTCAATAGATTGTAGCCATATCGATATTTTCTTGCTTCGGACGTAGGACGGGAGAGTAGAATACCCTTGAAATACACCCGATCTCGGAACTCCGAATGCAAGATAATGTCCCCATATTCGGTTTGGATAGGTTGGAGACGAAAAGGTTGGAAAAAACTAGGATAAGTCGATATATCCAGATCCAAGGCGACACGCATCCATTCCTTGAATTCATAGGGACTTATTGTAACTCCAGCTGCGCCTTGCCCTTTCGTAATCGACACGCAGACGTCTTTCGAAGGGTCGCTTGCGAGTTCATTGGGCTTTTCTCTGAGGCGAATGTGTCGGCATTGCTCTCTCTTATTGTCGAGAATTGACGCGGAAATGGGTGAGATCTTGCAATATATCTGAGACTTGCACTTGTCCTTAAAGCCGAAGTAGAGTTTGAACCCGCTTGCGACAATCTGGACACGAAATCCGTTGCGACATAGAACCAAGGCAGCAAGCTTGAGACCATCTCCATGACGTCCAGCCAATGCTTGATTATCATCGCCTCGTTTAGTCGTTCCTCCGATATCCAGGTCACGGGCTGTGAGGCGAGCTTCAAAATTGGTAAACACAACACCGCCATATCTTTCTTTGTAGGTGATGTAGCCCAATAGGTCTTTCGCCCTAGATCGTGTGCTATTTGGTTTATAAACGCGGATTTGGATCTCACTCCGAGTGTCTTTTATCTCTGTCTTAAATTCACGCTGGCCGAGATGGAATGAGGAAAGGACGCCGTCCTTCCTATCGTCTCACACACGTGTTAGGCCAAACAAGATGGAATTTGAAAGCCAGGGACTGACACCCACCAATTCTGATACAGTTCGCGAAAAGCGTCTTCGTTGCTCCAATTCTCGACATAGTCCTTACTCAAGCCCCAGGTGTATATCATGGGTCGAAGTGAGCCGTCATCTTCTTCTTGCTCGGGGTCGTGGAAACTACAAGGCTCAGACTCATGTTCTGAGTCCATGGCTGTCGACTTATCATCTGAGCCACTGGAGTTTGAGCAGGAGTCAGAATCATCTTCTGAACTACTCGAGCTTGAGCAGGACACAGAATCATCTTCTGAAGCCATGGTTGTTGAGTTTTCCGGACACTTCAAGAAGAACAACGACGTGGAGTCTGAAAGGCTAGATTTAGAAGGTGGGTTGAGAAGAAGAATTGAGAGATATGGGGTCATGAAAGATGATAGAAGGTGATGGGTCAGGAGAGGAAGCAGAAGGCGGAAGAAGTTGGCGCCTTGGTGAAAGGGAAGATATAAGCGGAGTCAAGTGAGAGTGAATGGCTTGATATCCGCCTTTGCCTAGAGGCGTGGATGCTCTCCCCTTGTTCAAACCTTTAGTCTTGTTAAAGTCAAAGCTTCAAATAAGCCGACAGAGTCTTTCTGGTTGCTCTTAAAATTATTACCAAAGCAGTGTCTTATACTGTTACTAATCGTCATGCTCATCGTAAGCTCCTAGTTGCAAGTTGTGTACACCTCCTTCCACCCATTCTAACGGTGCGACAAACGCCATCTGACTCCAAGAAAACAAAGTGTTCTTTCCTCCAAAAACAAACACCTCAAACCTCCCTACAAATAAACCATCGATCCAAACGCGACTTCCACCAACAACATCTGTCCGGATCGTGATCAGACTTCCCAGCGGCACAGTCACCGGCTCATGTGTGGAGGTTGTCTCGTTGACCCATATACGAGCTGGGTACGCAGGATCATATCCATCGGCCTCGGACACAGACCGGAGAGGATATTCCCACCCGTCCGACATGAAGGTTAAAGAACCATCGGGTCCCAGCCTGAGCGTCGCATCGTCGGAGGACAGAGTAAACGGACCCGTTACGTTCAGCTCTAGCGAATAGTTCATCCCTTTACTCCCATATCCCAAGTGACTTTTTGTCGTGACATTCTCGTTCATTGCATCCCAGCTGACTAGCACTTCCCCATCTAGATCCATCGCTCCAGAAAGCCGCCGATCTAGATTCTGCGCCACCGCATTCGCAGTCAGCACGCGCATAGACTCCGACAAGCTCGACAGATCCAGCTCCTGCCCACGGTTACCCGCCCACACACGAGACGCGAAGGTTGGGATACCGTCACGAAGAGCATAATATGCCTCCAGCTGCGTCGTCGCGTCAGGACCATTGTCATTCCAGGCTGCGATGATGGCTCCCTGAACGCGTCTCGGATCGGGTTGGTTCGTGAGATTGTATGGGTTGAATAACGGTGGAGTCCATTGCAGGCCGTTGCTCCCCCCGAAATTCAGTAATCTCGTATTATTGAACGATGGCGGATATGGAGCAGGGATGATGGGCATGTGGTCATTCTTCAGGGACATGTATGCCCACCAATCTTCGGAATTGATCAACTCATAGCCATCCCTTGCAAGGCTAACCGGATCCGACTGTCCATACTGCCAGTGCTGGATAATGACATTCTTGGAGATGTTGTGGGTGTTCGACGGCTCGTACGTTCCCCAGATGCGAACCTTCTTGCCGGCAGTCTCATTCATGAAGGCAGCCATCTCATTGACGTAGTCAATGTAATCGTCCGCCAATGCCGAGTCGTACTCATCCGCGCCTATATGGACTTCTTTTGTTTGAAACCACGGCAGAAACTCTGTCCATATCGACTTGATCAGCGGCAGTGTATCCGGGTGCGTCAAATTGAGCAGATCCTTCGGCTCCAACGCCAGCTGCGGCTTCCACTTGGTGATCGACAGAGAATGGCCGGGCGCTTCGATCTCAGGAATCACGGTCACTCCACGCTGCGCGCAATGATACTGGAAGTCCTCAAACTCAGCCCGTGACAGTGTCTCATTCTGCCTCTGCACCAGGCCCTGCAACTCCGCGATTTCGGGCCGCAGGGAGAATTGGGAATAAACTTCATACCACGTCTCGTTATGTCCGCGGTTCAACGGGTAGTTGTCACTGCTGTGATAGTGGAATTCAGACAGCTTGAACCACGAGGCGTACGTGCACAAGTCCTTGAGAAACCCGAGAGAGTACCATTTCCGACCCGCATCGAGAAGAAACCCCCGCGTGACCGATGAAGGCGCGTCGAGGGTCCGTCCGGCTGGAACAATCCCCACGTCGTGGATCAGCAACTGCTGGAGAAATGTTCGCGTTCCCCACCACATCCCTCGAGCACCAGAGCCGCAAATGTATGCCCGACCAGCACTGAACACGAGCTCATAACCTTCCTCGGTCGGCTCCTTGTTCTCATTAGTCAAGTTGACCTGCTGAGCCACGTTGTCCAGAAATATTCCTGTTTCGCTATCGGAAAACGCGTCTACCGTATGGAGCACCCAAGACGTGTTTGTCACTGCCTGCAGGTCCTGACGGAAGGTCTCTGCAAACTCCCCAGCAGAGGGAGGAATCAGTGTCAAGCCATTGTCATCCCGACGAATTGAAAAACTGCTGGTGATGAAGATTTTCCTTTCTATCGCTTCGATGTCGAACCCATCTTCTGTTAGTCCAGTTGCATTCCACGCGACAGGGGGAAGAACCTGAAGAGCACACGCAACCGCGGCCAGATAGGGAAAAACCACAAACTTCATGACGTGAACTCGTAGTCGTCAACCATACCGCCGCTATGGAAGTGAGTTCACGAGAAACAAGCATAGCAAGCTGGGTCGACAGTAAACAACCCTCTGAAGAAATCTCTGGAGTGGGGGTTGCACCACGTCCGAGGCGTTACATTTCGATGCGGGGAATAAACAATGCATCCTACGGGGCTGGCCTATTGCATCACCAGAACGATCCCCCAAATGCCGATCGTTCATACGCCAAGAGATGAGGAATGCGGTTGCAGTGTATATAACCGTGATGACAGCTGGCCAGACCAGTTCTCTGTGCAGCAGTGAGCTCCTCTACAATCGTTAACAATTTGTCTTCGCGCTGCCCTGTATCTTCTAGCCGTTAGAATGGCCGTATTATGGCGGGCTGGGTTTTGTTTTCGCATCGGCTCCCACCACACGACCCCTTGCTTAGCCCGAACTACCAGCCTCTCAGCGAACAATCCTAGTACGTTCAGCCTTTTGCGTATCTAGGAAAGCAGCGAGAAAGGCAAAAGGCTGGCCGGAAAATGACGATCATATAACGACCTCTCGCTCTACTGAGGTCAGCGGTTCAACGCCGCAACGAGAATATCCCCTCTCTCGTCGACTGGATACATATATTACTTCTTGACATCTCCGAAACAAGTTTCTCCAGCATCTGGGTAAAATTATGTAGATATCCGTCGCACATATCTCGTCAGAATAAATTAGAGTGCTGTCATCTTCGATGCGAAGTCGGGCTACTGCCGCGACATCAAAGCGCAAGCATCAGCACTATAACACTAGCAAAGCAAGGGTGTGACAGACACAGTGCAACTGTATTCCATCTCCCTGTCCCTAAATTAACACTACTATCCAGATATCAACTGACAACTAAGTTATTCATGTATGGTATAAAAGATCACACTAGTCAGTCACGTGCCACGGGCAATGAGCTTGGAATTGCCAGAGATTGGGAGAAGCTTAACAAAGAGACCAATACTGAATTCAAAGTGCTATGGTATCCAAAGTCGTATTAGACCTCAGGTAGAAGCAACCTGCCTGCCTGCCTGCCTGCCTCCTGAGCCCCATGGAGTACTCCAAACAGCCTTTTGACGTAGAGAAAAAGTGCTCGTTCATCTCCCCAAGGATCCCCGGCAATTTTCGAAATGCGTCCAGCAGACTCGTGGCACCGTGTTCTCCTCATGGAAGGGATGGTGACTGTTTTGCAGTGTAGTCACCACCAGTAATGCGTTTGATGAGGTGTGCGCATTTGCTTCATGTTGGTACTCACGGCTCTTGCTTCGGCGCCAGGTCGGTCTGCACGCGATTGAAGGACATCTCAAGCGAGGGGAATCTCTGCGGGCTCCTAGCGCGGACTCATTTCCAACAATAACAGTATGAGGATGCAGTTGCTGTAGAGCATCCCGTGCTGGGTCTCGCTGCCCGAAGCGCTTGCGGGCGCGCTGGCGGGCGCTTGACAGAAAAGGCCACTTAGCTCGAATATTTTTCGGTATTTACCGGCGTAGCAGCTACGGTGAAAGTGGGAGGAGCATTGATACCAGAGCTTGTCAAACCGAACTCATTCCGGGGATGGCGGTGGTGATGTTAGGAGCGTGAGCAATCGACGCCAGGCTTCGGGCCATCTGCATTTGGTGCATGCTCCGCCGAAATGCCCTGTGTGGAGACCCCGAGCTGTGTTTCAGCATCTCTCCACATTTTCACGGCAGGACAGCACTCGGCATGTTCTCGCAATTTAGTATATGTTGATTATCTCCAGCTGCCGATGATATCGAAGGTGTTTCTGACTTCGGATGTGCAGCTCAATACCTTGGGGGCTGGGTTATATGTAGACCGTGGAGTAGTATTGACATGAGCAGGATGTGTACGACCCTCTCTCGTGGGTTGTGAGCTGGCAAGATACGCGAAACCCTGGTTGAAGATTTCTCTTTATCATTCGCTTTCATGGGGGTGATGTTGGGCACTTCTTTCTCGGTTGGAAGCGAAAGACCGCATGTCAATTCCGAAGGTCATCACCCGACTAGATCACCCTTCTCTGAATTCGGTCGAATCCTATATTTGCGTAACGGACCCCGATCCGGTAGGCCACGTTGAGGTCGGAGAATGTTCATTGTGACCTCATGTGGACTTGGCAAAGCGAGCGCTGATTCTCTGCGTGATCCAAAATGTTGCTCTCTTTCCGTGTGAGAAACACTTTGTGGGCGTTCGATTAAGTGGTACCCTACTGTGTAGGGATTGCGAACACACTCGATTCATGGACGGAACGAGCATTTGTGCTTTCACCGGCTGCATGCGCAGTTCTCACATCCGCGCTGAATGCTAAGGTTTTCGGCCTGCTCGTCGGGGCAGCATGAGATTGTGGAAGTCGTCGCGGATCTGGTCAGCCCTAACAATGGTCTTGTATCGCCATTTGGGCGTTTGCCGTTTTGCTTTGAGCTGTTCTTGCTTGGAGAAGATTTCCTTGTCGTTTGAGGCTCCGTTCCTTTCCTGGTGGCACTCATTTGACAACCCTGCCGCACCACAAACCGCAGCAGGAGTAGCTCCGCTTTTCGCCGATGGGTATACTCTGACGTATTGTAGTTGCATGTCAGGTTCGGTTTGCAATGCTCGCACGACAGGAAGAGCCGACAGTATCTGTTCGAACATTGTTCCTCTGGCCTCGGGATTCACCACCGGTAGGCCGTTGCCATCTGGCATCGCCATTGCTTTTCAGAGCCGTGTAGAGTACTGTATGGATTCGTACTCGCTCGTACGTCGCTTTTATAGCTGTGTCGCATTTTCGGTACGTAGCTGTATCAATTTGTAGAGACTTTAGACGTCAGTATGCAGGTGTAGGCTTTCTACCTGCAGACACTGAAGGCTGACATAAATCCTCTACACAACCAGTCGCCTGACTTGTCCAACATCGCGCTAGAACAAATGATTGGTTGTGCATGATGTTGCCCGCATCGTCAACATTTCTGAGAAATACTAGTGATTACCAAGGTGCAACAAACCGGCGCGAATTCCGACCACAAGTTATTCACGTTTGACCGAGGCGGAGAAGCACTTCCGCGCGAAGGATCTCAGGCGACGTCAAGCTGTTTAGAACCGAGGACATCTCCCATATCAAGTGTCTGTCGGCAACCCAGTTGTATAGATTGGACTGGTCTTTACCGGGGTTCTTGAAAGACATCGACGTGGTGAATTCGTCGTCCTCGTCAAAAGCAGGGCGCACAAACTCCTTGGAGCCGGAATCGGGGCAGTCCTTCGATTCCTCCTTTTTGCAGTTTCTTTTTTTTTGTGCGGATTCCTTCTTCCGTGCGGCCTTCTCTAGGTCGGCCTCCTTTTGAAGAGCGGCTTCGTCACCTCGAACTTCCTTTTCGAGTGCGTTCAAGAATTTCTTCGCGCTCTCGACATGTTGGTAGAGCACTTTGGACGCTGGGATGACGTAGCTCTTTGTTTTGATAGTGTCGGTGGGGTTGTTGGCCCAGTTGTGGAGGTATGGTGTGGTAGGGGGCTTCCCAAATCCGACTTGCCATCCATCGAGGTCCTCCTCCATTGCCTTGGACTTCATTTCGTAGAATTTCTCCTTAAAAAGGTTGAGCGCCTTCTGTAGTGCTTCGACTTCCCAATCCATGGTGGCCTCCTGTCAGAAGTCGACGTCATACACTCGTTGTGGTAGCGGGCGATGGCGAAACCTCAGAAGACCAGGTCGACTCCTTGCTGACCTATGATGAAGGGATGAGGTAGTATTGTATGTATTCAGCCCAGGGACCAGACCCCGATGCTGGTGCCGCAGCTGAAAGAGACACGATCTTTCAAAATCTTTGCTTCTATATCCCAATCATCAAGGATGTGGACGACAGCAAACAGCTCATCATCTACCAGTGCCGCGGGTTTGCCCTTTGCAGGACTTTCGCAATCTTCTTTTCAATTAGCCAAGGTCACGGTTTTCTTCCATGATGCTGCTCCACACCTGCAATGGTCAAAGGGCACAATATATCTGTTGTTCTTCAATTCACGGAGCATTTTCCTCTAATTTAGGCACTCTATGTTTGTCTCCGAGGTCGGCTGATTTCAATTTCCATGGACAGATGGCTTCAGTAGTACTAATAGCGCCCTGGTCTTTGGGGGTCTTTTGTGCCGATTCCAGAACGACTTGTCGATTCGAACACGTGGGCAGACTTTGACATCTGAGCAATTTATTTTTCGGTGTCTTATGGAACGGAAAACGGGCGACTTCCTCTGAAATGCTCTGCGAATGCTCATGTGCTAGCATTGATCTTCCGTGCCCGATGATCAATCGAATTGGGGTAATGCCACTATCACGGAAGATCCGAAATCTCGGTGTATCCTCAATAGCATTGATTACCCTTTCAATTGACTTCCTTTCTGTGGCCGTGATTTCCATCGTCATGGCTGTCGAGGGTGCCAGCACACAAGAAGGAACACGATTGCGTTCCAGGTTCCGCCGATTCTAGCGGACGCCAATATTGAGGCCGATTTGTGGCCAGCTTATTGGCAGTAGAATACCTGCCAAATCTGGAGGAGGACATCGTACGGGTCTCCCTTGGATCGGGGCTTTTGTTCTGGTTCACTATGCCCAGATTCTCGCAAGCCTCTGTATGGTCATCATCATACTGATTGTCTGTCCCATCGAGTCGGCGGTGTTGAAAATTTTGCTTCAGAAATATCTCCTCTTCCTTGTCTTCGCCGGGATTCAATGTTCTGGGTTGAGTTATATTGACTCCGTAGCTTCCAATATCGCTTCTCTTTTGGGATCTCCACGAGAATCGATTCTTGCTTCAGTGGACACAGTATGCGAGAGAACCAAGATGATGAACACGGTGAAAATGGTGCAAGTAAAAGGTACCAGAGTTATTGTGCGAAGGTCTACAACATGATGATGAGCGTGACGATAACATGGATACTGGTCACTGCGAGGGAAAGCTTCTAGCGCATCTGGCGGCCAGGAGTGAATCGAAAGCTTCAGCAGCGGACTTGAGAATCCCCAAAGGTCTTAGGTGCCGAAGTGGCTGATGTTCCGAAACTCGCGTTGGAGACCTCACAAAGAACACACCATCCTTATACTTGCATATCATACAAATCGAAGACAAACGTTCGGGCCGAACGGAAACCGGTTTACCTACATTCTTCCTTCGGTGTCAAAGTCACCGGGATAGTTGGTGGCTCTCTCATGTGCTGTTAAGAGCTTAACAGCTAGGTAAAACCAGCAGTCGGACATGCGAACTCCGTATGGTGGCCAAGTTTGCAGATGGCGGTTGCTTGATGATGGCTTCTCAACTGGGCCTTTGTGCCCCATGGACTGTTCCGGGCATTCTCCGCGTTACTATCCCACCACGCTGATGAATGTGAATCTGCGATATTTTTGTTTCTTGCTCAATGAGGTTTCCAGTCTCGAGTGCAGTAAATTAGAAGTCCCGCTGAAGCAAAGCAGTGCGGGAAGCGCCGTTCATGCTGCCATCAAACAAGATCATCACCGGTTTCTTTAGTGAGAACCTCCACATCACTAGTCTTAGATCCGCGCTTCCGTAGCTTCCGAACTTTGCCAGCGCTCAGTTGATAGTCTCATCAAGAATGATGCTGCTCTTGACCAAGACGGTAGAGCCAGGCTGATCGCAGCTGAGGGCTCATAACCCGTTGATGAAATGGTGGATCTGTGAGTGGACTCAAAGCTCTAGCCGAAGTGACTCACTTGCAGTGACCACAAACCCTTTTGGCCGAAGTCGGGTCACCGCACTGCGGCAGCCAGACCATGCTTGTACTCGCAAATTTCCGCTTCTCAGTTCTAAAGGTCTTGACTGCTTTCGGTTTGCGATCTCTTGTCTTGTCCTGTTCGGCGTCAAAGCTGGCTTATTCCACGCTGTGATTCTGTGTGTAGACCGACGTGTGAGAAACTGAAAGTTCAAGCCACGTGTATCTCAGTGGGCTACAACCAGACCAGTGCATGCCTGGTTGATATTTCTGAGCGCAAGGCTTAGCATCTCTGTGACGAGCATAACAGCAGCCGCCTTGTTCCACTCATGCAAGTACGCCACTCGGTAGGATTAACTCCGGTAAAGAAACCGGTCAGCTCTAGTCACAATGATTCATCTCGCAGCACACAGTGCAGCATGCATGGACGATCATGGCGTCCGGATCCAGACTCAAAACGCGATCGTACTGTGTCAGGACAACGCCCGCAACCTCGTGCTTGTTCATGTCACTGCATCTCTTGTCAGCTCCGCTCCACATCTCGATCATGGCAGTCAGCGTACTTACTATCACCTTCCAGCCCGGTCTGAACTTCGATGGGTATAAGCTTGATAATCGGTTTGCGCTTTGAGCAGCAATCTGCCTCCCATAGGATGGCTCGTCGGGTCTTGTTGCAAAGGATACACAAGTATCCCATCAGCCTGACGGTCGCGACGGTTTAAAGACTCGGCTGCATTACAGCACTGCAGTTGTACTGCTGCTTGGTCGTATACTGCACGGCGGCACATTGCGAGAAGTCGACGCCCGTCGTTCTATCGCGCTGCGGCATCACTCAGCTATTCGCAATGTGCTACTGGAATTTGCACTGGCCCGTGGGATGAGCTCAGCGCGTTGAACCCTTTTCCAAACCAGGAGATCATCGCCTTGGAGAGGTCCTTGATCATCCAATCTAGCACGGAGGCCAGCAGCTGCCTCAGCGTCTGATCGTCATGGTTCAGCCGCCAGCTACCACAACCCAATCAGAGACCTTGCAGATCTAGCTGCACAGACGAGTCTCAACCATCGGACTGATCCGTGCGTCATTTTGCAGACCAGTCCGTCGATCGGTCACAATGCACCATGGTAAGAGAATTTGCCCTCATGGCCCGACGGAAGAATCAGTCGACGGCCCGGATCCTCCGCGATAACGTCCAGACCCTCCGCATCGTAGTCTTAGGTAAGGTCTTTACTAGAGGGGTATAGTTCTGCCACTGGCCAATGTCTGAATCTGTCGAGAATAGCTTGATCTGTGGTCTGCCTCTGCCCGGCGATGATCCAGTCGCTATTCTTCTCGGTACCACCGCATAGCACATACGTACAGTATCTAAGAGACAAGTTGAATGTTAGATTCCGCGGCCTGTACGTGACTTGGGGATGCGAGCCTTTTCAATGGTCCCTTCTGTGTCGAAGTCGCCAGACCAACACTGGCATTGTGTTCTTGGGAGCGAATCTTCCACTAACCACACATCTCCAAATCTTGCTTAGTCGAGCTTTGAACTGCGACCAGACTTTCTCCTTTCGACAGTGAGATCCCAGGACTGTCCTGTCACTGTAGTCTGGCGTGCTTAGTGGTGAGCAGAGCATCTATGGTCGCTGTTTTTGTCGACATTGGCGGGTGTCCTGTCGTTCGCGATGCATGCGCCATGGTGTTCACAAGTCCAGAGAGCAAGTGGGCCCGTAATTCGTTCTGGTTCCGTTCAAACCATTCCGTTGAGAGAAGACAATCCCGCTTTTTGTGTGCACTTATCCCAGAACTGTCTTACGACTCCAGTCTGGCCTGCGTTGTTATGAGGAGAACTTCTATGGTCGCTGCATTTGTCGACCTTCTCAGGTGTCTCGTCGTTCGCGATCCATGCGCCACGGTGTCCATAAGGCCAGAGTATAGAACGACCCTTAACCCGTCCTGGTCCCGTTCAAGCAATACTAGCTGAGAGGAAGTGGTCTCGCTTGTTGTATGCGTTTCTGAGCTCTGTCCGCCCGGAAGATGAGATTGTCAGACTCCACTGTGAAGACTTGGTTTCTTAGGAGGCTTGACACGTACCTTGGCCATTCAAAACACGTTTTGAATCTAATACTCGTCGCATAGGATTCCCTCGCGAAGCTGAACTCGGGTCCCATACTGCACTCACGCACTGAACCTCACGAAAGGATCAGGCTGCAAGATCGGTTGCAGTTCTCGCGACCCGACAGGGACTTGCACGATTTTCAGTGAGGACTCTGATAGGTTCGCCGCGCACACTCCGACAGATTAGCGACGCGTTGTGTAGCTGGTCGGTAAACGAACTGAGTCTTTGCGCAGTCTTCGACTGGACAGCTTAGAAATGCGACTGTCCCAGTACATCCTGTGCCATTTGGGAGGAGGAGACCCGCGGAAGAGATATACTGAAAGAAAAACACGATGCCTCTTGGATGACTGGGTCATCGAATTGTTGTTGCCTCCGCGGAGGATGTGGGGGGGTTCAGCCGAGGACGGCACCGCCCATGGGGTTTGACGGAGTGGGAGTTAAATCCACCATCGCAGATGAGATTTGAGAATGCTATGGCAGGTCTTCAAAGAGTGTATCAGGAAAGATCACCTCTTCATGTGTTGGATTGAATCCAGGAAATCGAGAATGGCGACTGTCAGTTCTGGTTTTGTGTGGAGTGGGTAAGGAATTCTCTGAAGGGTGGTGGTGGTAGAAGAGAAGAAGAGAAGAAGACAGAAGGATGGTGGGAGAGGCGGTATTTATGTTTGAGGTCAGGAAGTGTCCAGCGCTTCATTCATCAACACCCTTTCGTGTTGCTATTCACACTGGAATGGAGATTCACTTTGAGCAGCTGGCGTTCTTGTATAATCACAGAAATTGGTTGATAGTTCTACACCCAGAACATTGAATAGTCCTTA